CAGTTTTAAAGAGCTTTATAAAAAAAATTGACATTGACATCAAAATATCTCACAGAAACAATTAATTTTATTTTTTTATGGAAATTATAGGATAGTTGTCATTTCCTGTTGAACCCAAATAGAAAGCCTTACTAACAACCCTATCTTAGTTAGGTGTGCTTGTGCAACTCTGTAAAATACCAAATTAACAAAAAGGATAATCTGCTCTGATCTAATAAAAATCACCTGAATGGAGTGTTAGAAGGCTTAGATATGGCCTAAAGATTATTGACAAATAAATGTATTAGATGACATAATTCTTATGATTTGTGCCAGAACAGCATTTTAAAAGAAGGTACTTGCTGTAATATATTGTTATTGAAAATAATTTACCTCAACTCTGCAATTTCATGTAGCCGTAGCAGTTTTTTACTGCTATATACCTTATCATGTCTGGCTGTGTGACGTTCCGCTAAGTGTCCTTCACATGATCATTTCTTATATCCACCTTTTTTTAACTTCACGTTGTGCTAATCAGCTCATATCTCTTTACTGTGTTTACCGTTGGTCACGGAGGGTTTGTCAGAGTTTTGGTCCCACTTGGGAGAAACACTTCTCCTTTACAGAAAAGTGGCTTCTTTAACTATTAACCCTTCCTCCTCCCAGGTGAAACCTTCACACAGCGCACCTGACAGTAGGGGTCAATGCCTGCATCTGTAGGGTAAAGGTGCGTGAAGCAAAAAAAGGGGGAAAGTCAATGACCAGGTGTGAGGAAGAGAGAGAGAGCGGAGCCAAAGTCAATACATTTAACTCTAGATTAAAACTATCGATCTCAGGCTATTTGTGCACCATAAATTAAGTGTGTCGGGGGTGTCGGCGGACAGCTGGGACTAAGTTTTTTCCCCTGCAGTCTAGTGTTTGCACCCCTCTCTGAGAGGGTTGCAGCCCCCATCCTCCCCAACCGCCACCTCTACGTAATGCCTCATTCTCATTTCAGTTGTGCCACCTGCATTGATTTTCAATCTGTTTCCCCTCGGCTGCGGATCATCAGTTATAAAGCCAAGAGAGAGAGTTTAGGAGGGGGGTCTGCTTTTTCAGGGGCTGCAGACGTAGAGCGGCATGCATCCCCAGTACAAATGGTGTTTTGATAAAAAATCACTTGAAAGTCAATATTTTTTTATTAAACTGTGCACAAACCTGATTGATGAAGACGGGTGTTTGGCCGAGTATGTGAGGGAGTGTGCGCGCGTGTACCTGGGTGTAACAGCTGTACAAATCGGACATGAATTAGGCCTCACTTCGGGAATCTCTGGAGAGGAACCTTACCTTACAGCCTAACTTTTCCTTACATCTCAGTAACATTCCAGCTCTTGCAGACCCATTGAAATAAACTCAGTCGCTCTCTTTGTCCAACTCTACATCAGACGAGTTGGTCACTAATTGCTGTTCACTGAATCCGTCAATGTTCTAATAAACGAGGATGACTTTGGCACCGAAGATAAACGATCTCTTCAGGGAGAGATCTCTCATGCTTTAGCTGATCATCTGTGTGTGTGTGTTGCTCAGCTTTCTGTCATGCCCTTACACCCATCCATGCGCTCACTTATTTTTCTTTCGGCCCTCTGCTTGGAGCGCTGGCGTTGGCAGACAGCAGGCCTACTGCTTAATACCTTTTAAATGGTTTTAATTTTCTGTCGTTATTGATTTCAGAGGCCATGATTAATCAGATCAGTGGAGCAGGCAGTTAGTACATTAAAAATTGTCAGTCTCTTGTCAGGGATGATTGGGCACTGAAGTCTGTGCATTGGGGGCTGAAAGTGGCTGAACATTTAAGTTTTTATGCATATTTTTATTTTTATTTTTTTACACAGTAGAGAAACATAATATATAACCTATCAGTGTCATTTTTAGGTTTTTTTCCATGGTAGGTTTTGGTTTCACTTTGAGTAATTACTCTAATGAGGTTCCTGGAAGATTTTTTATGATGTCAATAAAATCTACCAAATTGAAGATAAGGTTTTATTGGGCTCGTGTTTATGTTTACAGGTACATTTGTTTTTTTATATGTAGGTTACAGTGCCAGGATATTTGCAATAGATACACTGTTAAAGAGTCTTTCTGTTCAAATCAAATGAATATTTAACGATAATCTCTCTTTAAAAACATGAGGATTAATACTTTTGAATAAAGGGAGAGCAGGTTTAAAAACTTCTTCTGTAAGGTTTATTGGAGCATATAGACAGATGCATCCTTGAGCATTCCTCTTTACCTGATCTCTTTTGATCATCAAGAATCATAATTCTCCTTTTATATTCTCCTCTCTGTGCTTTATGCCATATTTTTCTATAGGATCTTGGTTCTATAAAAAAAGAATGAGGTTAATAGAAATCAGAATTGGTGTTTTTACACATATGATGACTTTATTTTGGTGATAAGGTGCTACACATGGACAAGCAAACATAAAGTTAACATAAATAAATATGGGAGCATGAAACTTTAGAGTGAACAAATTGAACTTTTATATTAAAAGCACAGGGGCAATTATTTAACAACAACAGTATAAAACTAGATGATATATATAGACATCTGCTGAGATGTGTTTTGTTTTTCCCTCCAATAGGAGAATGTCAGTAGTGGACCTGGGCCTTGTTGATGGGGCTAATAGCAGAATAATCCTGGTATTCTAAGGAGTTAAACTATGTTTCTGTGACTTTTGGTGGAGAAACAGGCCCACAGCATCACACATCCTCCACCCTTTTCTCTCCCGTCTTACCTTCCTGCTCACCGACTTATTGGTCCTAATGTTTGTAGCCAGAAATATATCTACCTTTTTTAGTGTTTTTCACAATTTAACAAAAATTATTCATCACTAATTTAAAATATGAAGAATTCTCAAATAAAAAAAACAAAAACAAAAGCAAACAAAAAATGCTCTTAGTTTTCTAATTTAAGATCAAGCTACTGTAGATTATTTTTTACGGTTTCTTAACTTCAGTGTAAAAAATGCCACTAATAAATATTTTTCCTCTTGGAAAATCCCATTTAGTTTCCTTTTTGAATGTTGTTTTTGATGAAAAATAGTGTTTTTTGCTCGCCACTTATTAGGCTCCTGTTCCTGATCTTTTGTTTTCTTTCTCTCTACAGGCTTTGGGCTGCATGTACTTTATCCACAGGACACTGAAAAACGTCTATCATTATGACTTTAATGGTAAGAAAACATTAAATGTGACGAATGCATCCGACAAATGCAACCTGAGATGCTATCTGTATATAACATCTCAGGTTGGGATGAATATTTCCATATCTTTGCCTTTTCGCAATCCTGTTTTATAAGTGATTGAAACTCATTTAGAAGCAGCATAACTCACAGTTTTGATCAATTGCTTCCACCCCGTAAGGGATAGGAACCTTTTTGCATATGATTGGCAAAATTCCTGTCATTTTTTATGGGATATTTTGAAGATGTTTCTATGTAATGATAGTTTGATGGCTCTACTGCCCAGGCAGGTGTTTGCAAAGTACTCAAATTCAAAGTGGAGATGTTATTTCTGCTGCTGTATAGTCCAGTCACGTTAGATGTGAAAAAGCAGGGCAGAAAAGCTTATAGAAGAGCCATAAACATGGAGATGCCACTCGCTGTGCGCCCCAAACTGATCGTCGTTTGCCAAACGAAGTCTAATGGCTCCCGCTTATAGATTCTCTCATCACGTATGCCGCTCTGATGAGGTTAACACCAGTTTATTGATCGCCGTTTCCATGTTTTCTCACTCTTTTACATGTCACCGCCCTCACTCTGCCACCCCCCTGCTCCCAGTTAAGGATTTTAAAGCCGTGGTGGGACAGACCAAGTATGTGGGCTCACTGGACGGCGTGGCCACCGTGGAGAAAGAAAAATTCCCAAAAGATTTCTGGCCTGATGTAAGTATGTATGCAAGAGTGTGTGGAGGGAAGGGGGGGGGGACTAATGGGAGGAAAGGAGGTGCTGGGAAAAATGAGTCCACGGGGGCCGATGCAGTCGTCTGACAGAGAAATGAGACAAATTATCTGTGAGAATCAATGATTATCAGTTTGGGTCTCTGCTCCCTGCTGTTTAGTGATTCTATCCCATTTGTCTGTGTTGCAGTTCAAGTGGTCCAGAAAGGGCTTCATGAGGACCCGCTGGATCATCCACAACCAGTGCGTAACACATCCAGTAACACACACTGCAGGGCTTTACTCATAACATTTCAGCTTCTGTTGTTTCCTATCTTTAAATGTGCTCATTATTCCAAGTTTTTGCGCAATGACAGACTGATTTATAAGAGCTTCAGCCATCAGAGTTCATCTGAAATTTTCCTCACTTTTGGGTTAAACAGAAAAGGTACTTTCTCACAAGAAACAATTTTTCTTCATTTTCTGGAAAACAACTCGGGTTCAGAGGGTTTGCATGTAGAGAAGCACTTAGAAAATGTAATAGCACACGCAAAACTGATATACAGACCAGGTACGAGGGGAATTATGTGAGTAAAACAATCAAGACCAATTTTTTAGCTGGTTTGACACCATTAATATATAGAGAACCATCCCAAAATTATGGGAAGAGGCTATGCAAACGTAATTCCTTACCACCCATAAAGCAGATGATCAAACTTAAAGCATGTGTTTCACTGGAATCCAGCTTCATTATCTTGTTGATTCCTAATTTTTCTTTTGTTTGAACTTTCTGCAAAACCTAAGTGAATAGTTTTAACGTAGGACTGGGTTAAAACTTTTCATTTAGAGAAATAAAAAATAATATATAATAAAAATAACATCAATTTCTTATTGATAAGAACCTGGAGCACTAATTTGGGAAGAAGCGGATTTGAAATCAAATAGTAAGCCCCTAAAATGTTTTTTTTTACTTTTTTTTTTAATAATTATTTCCTACATAACAATTTCATCATTATTATGCTGTAATCTGGTGATCACATGATGAATACAGGTAAATCTCAGTAACATAGAATATCATACAAGTTTTTGTGTCACTCTTTTCATGATTATCCTACTACAAAGTAAAAACAACCTGTCTATGCGGGGCAGTGTTACCTTGCTCTGCAGTAATTAGTTGTATATTTTTAGCTCATTACGTAGGGCTAATTGTTGGTACATTCCTGTTTGCGGACTTTCTGGCAGTAGTATCCCGATAAAATTTTGTAAAGACACATCTGGATTACCTCGTGTTCACATCTTCACTCTGGTGACCTCACATGTACCCTGTTATCTGATACCAGGTTGCTTCCTGCTCTCCTCTGGTACAACTTTGCTTGTGTTTTTTACAGGGGCCTCGACTTGGTCAACATCCACCTATTTCATGATGCCTCCAACCTCATTGCCGTCAACTCCAGTCCATCCATTTACTCAGCCAACCGCAAGAACGCCCTCAGATATGTAATCAACAGGTGGGATCAGTAGCTGGGCACAGCTGTCGGGACTTTCTGATGCATGTTTATGCTTTCATCTAAACCACTCTGTTGTAGCTCTTGCTGCACATTTACAGTTGTTGCCGTGCTGTAAAGTGAACTTCTGACCTATTCATGTTTTTCAGCCTCTAAGCTGTATTATTGGTTAATTTTTCCATCATTTCTAAGAAGCATTCCTCGGTCGGTTGAAAAGAAAACATCTTGAGAATATGATGCTTCATTGTTTCATACACCAAACCTTGCCTTTAACTTCTCCACTACTTTCTCCTTGATTTTCCCACTATGTTCGTGTCTTTTCATTATGCTGTTTTTCATTAATGTGAAACCTCTGAGGCATTCGTATAACAGCTGAATTTATATTAAATCTACTGGGGACATGGTTAGAATTTAACTTATTAGCTAAATGCTTAGAGCATTTGGTTACACTGGATATCATTTATCAGAGGTTAATGCAAATAAATCACTTATCAGTGTTTTAGTTGGTAAGGGTTTGGAGAACAAGGTAACAATGTCCTTCCACTTGCATTGTGTTGGCCTATCTGTGTATGGTAAAATATTTATTGCAGTTTTTAATTTTTAGCGACTGAGACTCTCAGTTTGTATGTGATAAAAAAAATAGATAATATATAACATTTATGTCACTAAATCCTTGGAATGATTACACACTGTAGCTTTAATGATAGATTTTTTTGATAAATAAAAATTAACTATGACCTTTTGTTCAATTGTAAAAAGTCATAGGTCAGCAGTAAAGAAATACAAATATGTATTTTCTTCTTCTAGGATATCAGACAGCCGCTACACTGCGTTACCTTTCTTCCTGTTTGGTGATTTTAACTTCCGTTTGGACTCACAGGCATTAGTCCAGGTAAGTACAAATGTTTTCCTGGTCATATATCTGTATGTATGAACTGGATATTAGACAAAGACTACATAACCCACTGACTGGTTTCTGTTTGCTATGGCCAGCATCTGACTATTGAAGCAGATGTTGTAAAAGACAGCAATTTTGAAGTGGAGAAAATTATATTTGAAGAAAAAGACAACGACCACCAGGTAATTGCACTATTTACCGTCCTGTCAGGCTTGTTTTAGATCGGCTTTCATGTTGCAAACCCTGATCTCTGCTTCAGGTGCTGCTGCAGATCGAGGAGAAGCTGTTCGAATACGTGCACCAGGCTGTTTTCAGGAAGGACAACGGTAGAGCGGTGAGACTGCATTCCAGACTTTTTAATCCTATACAAAAGAAATTCAGGTTCTGACTTGCCACCGTTCTTCTGCACAAAGTGATAAATGACACATGCAAAAAGGGAAACCGAAGCAGTAATTTTCTTTTTCTTGTGAATTTCACTTAAAAAACCGTAACCTCTCCCTTTTCCTTTCTCACAGCTTTTAAAATATGACAAAGAAGTCATGTCCTTTCATGATGTCACCAAGGAGGAGGAAATCACCTTTCCACCCAGGTGAGAATGAATAATCTTTCACAGTAAATAATTATATCAATCCATAAAACCCTCTCCAGGTGCGTCCGAAACTAATTTTATTTTGAATCCCGTTTAGCTACCCATACAGTGAGGACCATCAACAGCCGAAGCAGTACATGAACACTCGCTGTCCCGCCTGGTGCGATCGTATCCTCATGTCTCATGCTGCCCACAGTTTCATCAACCGGGTCAGTTTGACCTTAAAACAGCATAAAACAAGAATTAGCTGAACATTTTTAATGCTGTATGAGTTTTTGACTGCTCTTCCAGGTGAACTTCTTTTAAACTGGTTGGTTTCCTAACATACACGTGTCTTTTCAGCATAAATCACTCATTTTTAATACCAAAAAACACAATTTCTGTATCTTTCGTTTATTCAACAACCAGCTCTGATGTGTTTGGATTCACTGCCATGTTGAAACACCTAAATGTGGTTTAGCTTTCCATGTGAGGTGAAGTTAAATAATCTAGTTTATGTCCACGTTAATTATATTATTCACTGTGTAATGCAAAACTAACTTTAAAAGTGAAACAGACCTGTACTGTGCATGCCCAGGTCTGTTTCAGTGAAACAGACCTGGGCATGCAGGTCTACATAGACCCGAGAAAATTCATAATTAAGTCAGACTTATGAACCCAATTCTTATCTTTAGGATTGAAGTTCTTTGTTGTTTGTGCAGCCTGAATAAAAAACAGTTCAAATGCATCATGAAAAATACTAAACTGTCACCATGGTTACTAAATGACAATATTCTTTGTTTCTTAAAATTGTTTTTTGGTTTAAAAGTGCAGAAATCAAAATTCCCAACATCTGGGAGCATTTGATGCTATTTTCAGATGAAATTTAAGTAAAATCAAGTAAATTAAACCGTAGACACTTTTCATAATGTAGTTGAATGTGGAATTCTGCTCCGTGATCAGATAAACATCAAGTTTTTTTCTTTTTAGAGAGACGATGATGAAGGAAAGGGTGTTGTTTACAACACAATTGGTCCTAATGTCTGCATGGGGGACCATAAGGTAAGCCCTTATAAAGCCATCTGTTCTGGTCAGGCAGTAAATCAACCACAGAGTGACTCTTTTATGTTTTTTGGTTCTCCTATAGCCTGTTTTCCTGTCCTTCTCGCTGAAGACAAATAACCATTGACTCCGATTCTTCTCAATGGTAAGAATATATAAAAGTAAAGCACCATGTGTGAGAATGCAGTGCTTCCAGAGGGTAGATTTAGAGAGATTGTGGTTATCTTGTTCTTCTCCCTGGAGGGCCATAACCAAACCAGCCCAGTGGAGTCAGAATATGAACTAAGATAAAGTACCAGCGGGACAAGAGTGCTCCCTTTGTGTGGAGTTGAAGCACAGGCGATCAGCACCTTCCGCTGATCTATGTCTTTTGAATCCTCTGGTCTCCTGCTGCAGCCGCACATTAAGTGCATTGCACGACTTCTTTTCATTAATTACAATCTGGATGGTCGGCTGGAGAGGCATTCATCCCGCCCCGGCAGCGTATTGGCATTTTTACCGCCATGATTTTGTTTTGCCGCTTCTTAAATTTATTTCTTAAAGGATGAAGTGTTTTATCATGATGGTCTTTCTGTTGGCGGCTTTCAAATAATGGCTTCCTCTAAGTGAAAAAACATCCCACAAAGAGCCATTGTTTCTATTTTCATTCACATTTTGAAGCAACAATACAATCCCAACATTGATGACTTAGATTTACAGTCCCCTACCATGTGAGCTATTTAGGGTTTAATTAGGGTATATGTGCTAAACCAAAACACAGAAGTGCGTTATCATGGAGGAGGCAATAGATACATAGTTTTTGAGACGTTTTTAAAAAATAAAATCAGAAAAGTGTGGCATGGATTTAAAAATTTCAGTACATTGCCTCAGAAGACACAAAATAATTTCCCAGCATGTACAGCTGGTCTATGAGGGCTTTAGAGGTTTGTTGGAGAATATTAATGAGTATTTTATCTAATGAAGGCCATGGAAAACATCAGACAGCTCAGGCAGGATATCAAAAAGTTTACTTTATAAGTAAATAGGGCTGAACGATTTAACCAAAAGTCAAAATTGCAATTATTTTAAGCCGATGTTCACATTTTATTTACAGTTTCCTCACCACTTACAACATGCATGCAGATGTTAATCTTTGTTGTTTTCATGACCTTGAAAGCTTGCTTGTCTACATTCCATTCTCTCTGGACTTTCCTGTTGCTGTTGTGTAGAACAGTGCTTACTTCTCCGTGCATGCATGGACTTGCATGCTGGCTGCAAATCACTCTGTTTTTGTGCGAGAGCAAACCCACTCTAAGCGTTTTAAGGGGCTGGGTGACAAAGTCAGTGTCTTAATACTGTGTGATTTGAAAACTGTGTTTTGACGAATTTTGATATATATTTGAAATGCAATTAATCGCCCAGCCCAAGAAATATGCTACTAAAGACAATCCCAACCCTTGGACAGCACATAAAGCACCGTTTGATCCATTTTCCACAAATGGTAGGGGTTTAACACTCCTGCAAAATAGGACAGCGCCATAGGAGAGTACAGTATGTGTTAACATTTATATATGTTGGTGAAGATTCTCAGTCATTCAGGTCATAGTCATTCTAAAAAAAAAAAAGTTAAGAACAATGCACTGGACTTTGTTTCCAAGTTTGAAGACGTTTAGTTTTTTTCCTGGATGGGAAATGAAACATCTTCAAAGCGGGGAAACAAAGTCCAGTGGATTGTTTTTAACTTTTTTTGGAATGAACATTTTTAAATTAACATTTTGTCTTTATGAAAAAATCTACATTTAAATTACACACTGTTATTTATGGAGGTTTTACTTGAAAGCTTCCGCTGTTGAAAGAACTAACCATTAAAGGAATAGTACACCCAAAACATGATTAGCCTTCATTTTCTACTCACCCCCATGCTGAACAACACTCTGGAGTACTTTTTTGATATCTCAAATGCATCTGGAGATCTGGGAGGCTTCTTGCTGTCTGCTGACATTCAAATAATGGAGGTCTATGGCGCCCGAGACAGAAAGGTCCATAAAAGTCCACAAAAAACGTGTCAATATTCCTCCATACTGCTCGTCCAATGTATTCCAAGTGTCCTGAGTGGGTAGCATCCAGAATTTACTCGAAACGAAGTCATTTAGAATGTTTTTAGAGCATAAACAGTAGTGTATAGGATTTCCTGAAAGCACGCGCGTGCACGTTCACGACGCTACGGAAGCCGGCAGACCAAACCAGATGAAAGTGCGCATTCAGCGTCTGCTCTGCCGATAATGCAAGCGTAGAAGAAGAAATGTGCTGTTTACCTGTGCAAAGAAAGAAACAACAAAAGAAAAATGTCTGAGGACTTCAGTGTTGAGGAAGAGCATGAGTTCTTTGCCGAGCTGAATGTGCACTTTCATCCGGTTTGGTCTGCCGTGGTTTCCGTAGCGTCGTGAACTTGCAGGCGCTCGCTTTCAGGAAATCCTATACACTACTGTTTATGCTCTAAAAACATTCTAAATGACTTCGTTTCGAGTAAATTCTGGACGCTACCCACTCAGGACACTTGGAATACATTGGACGAGCAGTATGGAGGAATATTGACACGTTTTTTGTGGACTTTTATGGACCTTTCTGTCTCGGTCACCATAGACCTCCATTATTTGAATGTCAGCAGACAGCAAGAAGCCTCCCAGATCTCCAGATGCATTTGAGATATCAAAAAAGTACTCCAGAGTGTTGTTCAGCATGGGGGTGAGTAGAAAATGAAGGCTAATCATGTTTTGGGTGTACTATTCCTTTAACCCACTTCTTTACTTTGTAAAAGGTTTTATGCTTCATTAAACACATCTCACCAGATACAGAGACAGGCTAAATAAATTATTAGCTTACATTTATGGCACTTCCAGTCATACGCATTGATAGTGCATCTTGTCATTATGTGATAATGATAGATTGGTGATAATGATAGGTTGGTGCTGCCCAGCTATCAGCCTTCCAAGACACGTCCAGAGCCACAGACAAGAAGCTGATGATAACTTTGGAGAAGCTGAAAAGAGCCCCAACTAAGGTGGAATAATCTGTCAAAATTATGCCATACAAACCAAGAATGTGGAAAAAAAGGATATACAGTAATTGGTCAAATGAGTCATATGTAATAACTTAACATGTTCCCTTCATGGTCAGATGAGACCAAAGCATTAAATGTATTTTCACCTATAAATATGCTATGGAGGAATAACACTGCACATCATCCTGGACACACTATTCCCAGTATTAAACAGGATGTTGGCCCTATCATGCTGTGGGGATGCTCTTCTGTGCTTTGGTTTGATCTGTTTTTTGTATTCTACAGGTCTTCGATTAAGGAATGGTCTTATATGCTATTATAATTCCAAGTATAATCTCTTTCAAAATACATAGATTGTAGTTGGGTGGATGAACTTTTAATGCTAGTAATATTTAAATTCAAAGCTGCTGAGGTGACAGGATGTTAAGAACGTTGCTGTGCATTTAATTTGTGTCTCTTTGTGTCTCCTTCAGGTGTTCAGCCACATCGTAGTTTGGGCAATCTGAGGATTCCCACCTTCTGGAACTGGGTCGTCTTCTTCCTGCATTGCTCAGCCCGGCCTGACCTATGAGCCCTCTGCTCTCATGTCACTGATACCTCTTAGCTGCCGCTTTGTCCACACTTGTTTAATCTAATTCATCACTGGTTTTCTTTGGAGTTTCTGCTTGCAGCCATGTGAATGACTCATTCAATTCCTTCTAGCTCCAAACATAATCATTAATTAACGCAGCCCTTCACTGTTGTCAAAAAGCAACTTCCAAACATTGTAGATATTCTTAATATAGAACCAGGATCACCTTTTCTTTCAGAACTGTGGTGAAACCTTTTTTAAATATTTAAAATGGATTGTATATTTCTTATCAGGTACTTTATGTCAGACATATAGACTATCCTGTTATATAATACCCTCTACTGATGCAGAAAAACACCAGAGGAAGAACGCTGCATATTCACCATCCTGTTAGGCTGATATTTTCCTCAGATCTACCTTCAGGACAGAAGAGTAACATAACTGAGACATAACACTAGACAGACAGATAAATCTAAGCTGTCCAGATCTGTTTTTATCTCCTGTATATGAAGGGAGATAGAGCCAGGTGAAAAAAACAAGTGTTTTCTCCCTTCCTGAGTTGTTTTTTTTGTCACAAGTTTCAGATCATTTAACAGATCTTTAATATCAGACACAGACAACCTGAGTAAGTTTTAAGCTAGCAGGATATGTTCATTGAATGGAGTTTGGTTTTATTAATATCTGGGAAAACCAAACCTCTTTACTTCTGACTTTGTTTTAAAGGACAAAAAGCTAAATAGGTAGGATAAAATAATTTCACACATTTTATCTTTGATTTGACTTATTAGACCTTCATTTCTACATTTTCTGCTTTGGTATTTTATGTCATATTACTGTTTAGTCTGTAGACAACTTAAAATTCATGATTTATAGGAACAGATTTTTAGGATCTGGGAATGAACGGACCCAAGTCTAGCTTATTCGAACTCAGCTTCTAAGAAGGTTGCTAATTACAGTCTAAAGACAATAAAACATGGAGGGGCGATTGCTTTCTGATCATGGTTTGTTTGCATTATGTTTTTTTTTGTTGAGGTTGTTATTTAAAAACTGAATTTTGGTGACTCTGGTCTTCTTGATCAGGTATCAATGTTAGATGAAAGCAGAGGAAATCTGTAGGTAAGGCAAAGACTCCCAGATGCACTCTAAAATCCTCTTTTTAACTGACAGTGACATGCTCTCTATGTCCAACCTGTACATAATACCAAGTGCTTTATCCCCCAGCATGTAGCCCAGCACTTCTCAGTTTTTTCCCTATTACCTGCACTTGCTCCGGGGCTGCATCTGCCACAGCTGATGTCTCATTTTTTTCATCTGAAAAAATCTGTTATCTTTCTCCCATGTTATGTTTACCTATGACTTTGTTGTTTTTTTCTTTTTTAATTCCCTGACTTGACTGAAACCTCACAGAATACTGTTTTTGCAGCCTGTACACAACACATGCACCTAAATGTAAAGCATGAGGCACTGTTAAAATGTTTCTCTTTTCATAAATTTAGTTTATTGTGCATGCTGTAGATCTAATGCAGTTATATATATATTTTAGATGTGCATGTTTCCTTTTATACTGGCTTTAAAAACAATATCTCACTGCTACTTTCTGTGTTTTGCTTATTTAGTGAGAGATGCAAAAAGACTCCTGAGGAATCTGAACAGTCTATATTTTTAAATATTAGCAGAAGGGACGTTTTAATATGTATCATGCTTCCATCATCTGAACTGAACCAGTGTAATTTAATGTAATGTTGTGACAGGAGTGGAGTTGGTTGGAAGGCCAGTATTACCTTTAGTTAGCTCTAGTCAGACACTACATGTTTATTTTACTTTGACTTTTGGAAATAAAGCGTGACCCAAGGCAAAATGGCTCCGTGTCTTTGAGTCGTCACCTCGTTCTGTTGCGGATCTTTGATGTTCAAAGAAACTCTTCATTTCCTGGAGAAAAGCAAGATTAACATGAAGAAAAATATATGTTTCTAAAAAACTGGTAAAAATATAAAGAAAATATAGAATAAAAGAAAATATATGTGAGGAGAAAATAATAACTAGAACATCTTACTGATCAAATTTAAATGTGGAATATTTTTGCTTTAAAAAGAAAACCTAAAATCATTTTGGTCAAAGTTTATATGTTTGGATTTCACCAAAAAAGAGACAGAGAAACCTTAAAAAAGGTGTGTTTTATTGTATAATAATCCTACTATTAAAAAAAAGAAAAACTGTATATACTGTATATATCACATGTACCTTTTTCTTCTTTTGGCACCCTCTTCTTCTTTGATAATTTGAGTTGCTGTAATGAGCAAATTTCTCCACTGTGAGATCAATAAAGTCAATCAATCAATATAGATTTTATGGTTATTTTTTTCCCCTATTAGTTTAAATTGCAGTAAATATTTTTGTAATCAGACATAAAAAGGCCCAAACATGGACTGGATCAACTTTTTGCTTCTATATTTTTTATTCATTGTATTAATCTTCATTTTTTTAAGGTATTTTTGTATTTTTAAGGTATTTTTTTAAGGTATTAAAAACACAAAACAAAATCTGTCAATGTTTGATTTATGTAAGTGTTAGATAGTTTATATCAAATTTAGTAATGGTCATTAATTAAAACACAGGTTTTTCATTGATTTTTTTTCACCTGTTTGAGCAAATAAGTGAAATGAAATTAACTAAATATAAACCTTCTCAAAAAAGTTATTTTTATTCATTTATATGTTACATGATCTTTTATACAACGGATTAATAAATAAATGTTAAAACTATATATATATATATATATATAAAAAAAAAAACAGAACCAAATTTGGTTGATAAGGTTTTCTGAGTATATTTAACATGACACGTTTAAAAACTTTACTGACTGATATGTTAAAAATTACATGCAAACTGAAAGTAAAATGAAAACTGATTCTTAAGTTTATAAGTTTTCGTACGAGTGTACAGTAAATGTCTGTAAACATGTTGTCAGTCCAGTTTTCTTAGTCTCAGTCACAGACTTGAGCTGCAGTCTTAAGCAAGTTAAGTAAGTCTTCTGGAAGAAGAAAGCGATTCCTGTAAGCTCAGATCCTGCTTCTTAGAATCGGCCCTGCTTCGTTCCTTATCCCCGCCTCAATCTCTGCATCGTCAGCGCCGCATTCAGCTGCATGAAGCATATGGAGGACAAACTCCGAAACTCCGGAAGGTCTAAAGCAATGACCAAGCCTTTAGTGCTAATATTGATTTTCAATTTAGCTGGTTTGTTGGGGCCATAGTCTTCAATTAAAACATCAGACAGAGTAAATCACATCAGATTTGACCTATGACCTCCTCAGCTCTGTGCCCTAATGCTTGCTGTCTTAACTGCCAGTTGACGGCTGATACAAAGAAATAAAGGCTTTACTATCACAGTTAAATTCTTTGTTAGAAAAAAAAATGGATCCACAAAGTCTGATAAACTTATTCTTTTATTGTGCACAGTTTTAAGTGCGTTCATTTTACATTGTGTATCTGCACATTTTTACAGGATATTTATTCACTTAAAAGCATCAGACATATTTTATTCAGTACACAGAAAAACAGACATTATATTACAATTTGTAATTATGATTCAACTCATATTCGGTGATCTTTTTTTTATTTTCTTTTAATCTCTTACATTTTTTTATGCAAATAACAAAGTCTTTCCAAACATTTTAATGGAGAGTTTTTGGGGATTGGGAGCTAAAAAGTTTGGCTATTTTAACCCACAAATAGCTTTCAGTTATAGATTATTTTTTCAGCATATATTTGTATATATGTTTATTCAGATTTTGCACAGTTATAAGTGAGGAATCATTGTGATAATTTAGAAGAATTCTTTGTGTTCTGTTCTCTGACTGTTTTATCTTCCTTGGTTGGAGCTTATCTGCTCACGCTGAGTTTGTTTCTCTCAACTTTAACTAAAGTTATTTAATCACAGCATGCAGGTCTGTTTGGTAGAGTGTGTGTCAGACAGGGTGCGGCCCGAGCCTGAGAACAGAGAAAGCCCTGCGGTGTTTGCGCAGCAGTAGTCTGATCTTATCATCATCTGAATCTGGGTCCAGGGGCTTGTTGTACTCCTCATCCTCCACCTCGTTCTCTGAGGTCTCCCCTCCCTGTCCAATATGGCCGGCCTGCGTGGAGCTGGGCTCAGAGGCGCTCTTCTTCCTCCACTTGGTGCGTCGGTTCTGAAACCACACCTGAGACACAGGCAGGCTGATTTTACCAAGTGTTCTGCAGGTAACAGTCAAAACTAAGCAAGATCAAATGTTGCTTAACGGCTGAGTTTTGTTCAAAGACTTTACACTATTGAAGAGCAATGCTTTTCAACTGGGAACTAATGATATCTCTTAGACCTTGTTTCTGTTGCCTTTTCTTCATCAAAACACACTGACCAACTCTCACATTTGTAAAGCCTCTATAAGGTCCCCAAATGCAAAAGCTGGTCCACAATTACAAGAAGAATTTAGCTACACTTATGCCAAAAACTTGCTAAAAAAAGGATAAAGATAAATGTTGACATAGCAGGTTTTATTAAAATGTATATAAAAACAAATAAATTGTCACTAAAAATGAATGAATATGAATTAATTTCTAATCACAGAAGAGTAATTCAGTCTGGTGCTGATCTTTGTGTATATGTTATCACATAGTATATTCTATTGGGGAATGATCAAAAGTGAAAATGTTCTTTTTTTCTTCCCATCACTCATGCAGCCCCTTACAAAATGCTTCCCCAGGCAGTGAGCCATATCACCCATATCAATGCCACCACTGATCAACACAAAAAAAACACACACAATAAAAACATTTAAAGGAAATTTCTCTGTATGACCTCTGAGTACAAACAAGCACATTTATCAAAAGCTTGACTCGATTACAAAGGATGATAAAACTCACCTTGACTTGTGACTCCGTCATTCCCAGAGAATACGCCAGTCTTGCCCTTTCAGGCCCGGCCAGGTACTTAGTCTGTTCAAAGGTTTTTTCAAGGGCAAATATCTGATGTCCACTAAACGTTGGTCTGGTGTGTTTCTTCCTGCTGGGCATTTCTCCGAGCGGACCACTGCCTAAAAAGAAAAAGGCCAAAATAATATAAATAATATATATAAATATATATATAAATATATATATGCAGATTTTGCTTAATATCCAGAAAAAGCACTTTTTAAATTTATTGCAAAAGAGATGATTATAAACCAGTTCATTTAAAAAAAAAACAAAGTTATGTACATGTTTTTAAAGGTTTTTTAAAAAAGTTAAACCGCTGAATCGTACTTATACGCCCTAAAATCTGATTGATTCCCTGATAGTTGCCTTTGTTTAGTCCTGAAAACTCCATAAAGTTTCTGATCAATGATGAGGTTGATGCTGAAACCCTTTGCCGACTCACCGCCGGTGCACTGCTGTCTTCCTCCTCTCCAGTCACAGCTGCTCTCTGCCCAGCAGCTCATACTTCGACCCTTCATCGGGCACTCTGCAGGGCTTTTTGAGAAGCCCCCAAGTGAGGGGTTGTAGTCTCGATTGTAGTACATAGATGTACTGGTTACGGAGGGACCGAACCCCCCCATGGGGGAGTATCCTGACAGCAGGGTGGTGGTGCCGGTAGTGCCGACCCCCACCATGGATCGACTCAGGATGTCGCTGATGCCGTGGGGCGTCCCCGGTTGCAGCTGGGTGTTGAGGCCCGGGTTGAGTTTGTAGAAGGAGTTGGGAACTGAGTACTGGCACACTGGTGCCTTTAGGTCTGAGGGGAACTGGTTCAGGCTGTTGTTAAAGAGGAAAGACCCCTGGATATTCGGATCCATGGGAGTTTCTCAAAATCGTTTTCCAAATGTCAGGAACACATCCAATAAGATCCAAGCTTGGGAAGGCCTCTGGTGGCCACACGGAAAGCTTTGACAGCCCCAAGCGTCGTCTAGATTCTGGACCACAACTGGATTTTTAAAAAATAGGTCCACAAATTGCAAACTTAACCTTCAACTCTTTTAAAGTTGCTTAAAAATAAACCAGGCGGCACCCGTCCACAGCTTTCTATTGGATAACTCCATATCTAAAGTCTTGGCTGAGCCTTCTGGAAACAGATCTTAGTTGTCTTACAGATGCGCCTTCTGCAGGCTCTCTCCTCAGAAATCATAAATACACAGAATGTGGAAATGGACTGATACCTTGATAAAGATGTCCCACATTAGAATGCAGCCTGGGATTGGCCTGGCTCTCAAAGCTTTAATGCCTTTCTATTGGCTCCACCGTGAGGGCCGAGCCTTTTATTGGACGGCAGCAGATTAATAGTTTTTTGAACAGATGGAGTGGGAACAAGTAGATTTTTTGATGGCCTGCCATGTCTGACCAAGTGTGTTGCTGCAAGAGCAAGCAGATGAGGGGGTGGGGAAGGAGAAATGGCTCTCTGCAGCTTTAAATGAAAATATGTTTTATTTTATTTTTTTTATATTCAATGAAATTAGTCTCTTTTTTTCTTTTAGAAGTTCAAATACACTCATCTTCTACATTTATTTTATTTCATTAACCTTTAATCAATTATAAAAAAATAAAACACATTAAGACCAAGGTCTCTTTTAAAAGGGTGATCTGGTCAGCAGCATACAAAGGCTGAAATCACTTTAGATAGAAGTTGGCTAAAAAGTGTAATATCTCACTGAGGCATCTTAAAAACACCAACACTGTTTTGTGGATGCTGTTTACGCAGGAATTAATTTAAGGAACTAATTTACTTTAGTAACTTTATTCACAATCTTTATTTTACTTGAGTATTTATCTTTCTAAGGAGATTTTGCTTTTATTCACCACATTTAAACACACTTCTGTACTTCCTGCTTCCTATTTTCTCCAATCTAGCTTGTTATTTCATACATATTGATAATGACATCATCTTAAATCTACAACAAAACAGGAAAAATTGAAAGCAGAACAAGACTGTGTCCAGTTGGAGCCCAGTTTGTTTATAGAAAAACACTAACAGTGATATGAATGAAGACGGAGGTTGAGCCACATCACCAGTAATGGGTCACAATCCCATCCATACCCTCTTTATTAGATTTTAAATTTAAATGGTGATTATGATTCAACTTCTTTTTCCAATGTTACGGTACTTTTAATGCCATGATAAATACCAGAGCTCTGAAAGTATTTGGCTCTTTATACAGGATGTCGGTCTTGTTCATTCTGTTTTAACCTGAAATTTTAATTTAAAGCAAAACTATACAAGTTCCATTTTTTTTATGTTCTCTCTAACAAAACAATGAACAAATGAGGGAAATTCAGCTGCTTTGTTTGCATAGAACACCTTTTTTTAAGAATAAAGCCAAGTTATTTTGTATAATTAAAAAAAAATAACAGTGAAGATTGAATGAGTGTCTTGAGTGTATGCAAGCAGAATTAAAAAATGTTTTACAACTTGTTTGGGTTATTTATGTTTATGTTTTCTTCAGATAGATGCTATTCAGACTTTGCTCTTCCTGTAAAAGATGTATATTTTTCTGCAGCCTGTGAAATCTGAGCTGATTAGCCTCAGATTTACTTTTTCCCCCCCTTTACACAAGCCACGACCTGTGTAGCGCTATCCACTACACAGGAAATGTGCAGAGGATGCCACAGGCTTAGGTATGACCCACTTTAAATACTATTTCTACACATGCGGCTCAAATGGCTGGTACATCTACTATTCAGCCCATCTACAGCCTGTAGATGGGCTGAATAGTCCTGGGTTTGGTTGTCTTTTTGTTCTGTACTGAACAAATGTTACTAAAACCATAATAAATAATTAATATCTAATGATAAAATTGTTTTGGGGAAAAAAAACATGTCCGATCTTGGAACATTTTCATCTTTTTTTTTGTTGATCATTTATTTCGAACACTTAATAAAAAGCAAATATAAGTAAATTAATAAAGTCATAACAAAACAAAACAAAACAAAAAAGAAGAAAAAGAAAAAAACATATGTACATACCATCATGTTCGAAAAGGAGTAGGAAGAAGTAATAAAACTTATTAAATCCTACCCCTGTTCTATATTAACATCTACCTATGTTTAAGCATATATACATATCTATATATATATATACACACACATATATATACATACACATATATATATACACACATACATACTTACACATACACCCGTATCTCAAACAGATGCACACATACATGCATATACATACACACCCACATAACTATAGACAGTATACACATATCTCTGTCTACATATACGTACACAGATATCCATACATATCTTTTGACCTTTACAGTTTCACTTTGACAAAACCCTGTGGCTTAATGTGTTGTAATTTCAGGTTGAGATAAGATCACAGTTTTCACCTGCTGGAACTCGGGTCATGAGTAGCTTTTTGGTTCACTTAATATATAGGATGATGAAATACTGTAACCACCCCATCCCACCCCCCAACACGCGCTTATAGGCAGAACTTTAAGATGACAGCTTTTACCTTTATAATTAGGAAAACATATAAAAAAGAAAAAAAAAACATGTTTGACCTTTATCGAAAAGTAGATATTTATTTATACATATAAATACAGATTTTAGAAGCTATTTTAACATATTCGTTTTTAAAGATATCTAATGTATTTAAATTTATTTGTAAAAGACACTGTTGTTGTTGATTTTCAAAGTACTTTTTTTACACAAGAATGAAGTGTTCTGGTTTTCAAGTTCAAGTTTTACTGTTGATCTTTTTAAAATCATTATATATCTCTAGTATAAATAAGTCTTTTTCCAGGTCAGAGTTGTCCTTGAAAAGTGTTTTTTTTTCCCCTTAAAACTATATTTTTATTATTTTTCCAACTTTTTAAGAAATGTTTTTTTGAAAATTCTCCAGGATTTAAAAAAAGAGAAACAAGTTGTTCCAAAAATGATCCGTAAAAAAAACTCTTCAAGAAGCCACTAGATCCATAGAAAATCCTCATAATTTCTCCCATTCAAACAGCAAATAATGTTTTTTAAAAGCGCTGTAAGAGTTAAGTTCTTATATAAGTAAAACAAGGAGAGACGTTGGAAGTTTAATTCACAGTCAAAGACAGAAAAAGTTCAGTATTGCAAAATACCACACAAAGAACGCCGCCTATTCTCAGCAAAAGCTTCAGGGAACAGGAAAGTAATTACATGATAAGAGCCTGTTTTATGGTTTCTGTTTCATTTTGGTAACACGGCGAGCTGACTTCATCTTTTATCTTGGAAAGCTAAAAAAACGCATGTGACCTTTTTTTCCTGTAAATGACTGAACATTGATACAAAGTTATAAATGCTCATGTAAATAAATCACTAAATAATTAAACTCAATTTTAGCTGTTCCATCTACTTCCTGATGTAAACATTGTGTTGTGTGAATTAGAATGAAAAAAAGTATAGTCCATTCATATGATTTAAGTTTACTTCAAGATTGATACATACAACCACAAACAAAACCTTTTTGATCTCCTTTACATTATCTATAACAGCCAACTATCAGCCATCATTTGTATGATGCAGACTGAAGAGTTTGTTCAGACCAGTAAAACGTGATTCTTCTGAACTAAAGCAGAAACCAGATGCAGAAATCCGAGTAAATTTCCAATTGTGATTATTCCAAATAGCATTTCCTGTGAGTGCCTGTTATTCATCTAACCAGGGAACCAATCAGAACAGCTTTTGCACAAACAGCCTTGGCCAACTGATCTGAGTCAACTGTAAAGCAAATAAAAAAAAAAATTTGCCTACACTTGACCCAAGTTATTTTACAGCTTTGTGTGGAGTCTATTTCAGTGTAATTTTTTTTCATTCCTTGTAGAACTTTCTATCATGTGACTTTCTTTGAAATCTTTAAATCCTATTCTATTCTGTTCTGTTCTATTCTATATAAATGTACAAATATATTATTTTTATTGTTGTTTTCTTGTCACACCACAATATTTTTTAACATTAGATTATCTATTTTCTATATTTTGAAAATTATATAGATAAAAAAATATATATTTTTATGAAGTTTTAACCTAACCATATATTTTTTATAAAGCCGACTTTAGTTTTATATTATATTGTTAGTTTATTATTATTATTATTTTATTTTATTTTTTTGGACAGTCAAAGATCATAATTTTAGCCAAAATAACTATTTGGAAATGTAACTCTGAGCTGGTGTAAGATTTCCCTACAAATAAATGACAAATAAATAAAAACAGGCAAAGATGCATTTCAGTAAAAACCATAAAACATATATGACTTTTCTGAGAAACTTTTTTTACAAGTCCTGACATAAATTACACAAGGCAAACTGGAAATTTAAGCATGCATAAATGTGGAAGGGAAAAAGAAAGCTTTAGGTAAATTTCCATGGTTCAGTTTCTTCCTCTGTCCCGCCCACTTGTCATGTGATTCATGTTTGTGTTTTTGAATTGCACGTGCGCTCTGCTCTGTCTTAAAGCCTGCCAGCTCACACCCTCTTCATTATGACTTCAACTGCCAGACAGACCAGAGCACAACTTGTGTTAACAGGATTTTATGCCTTCTGCTTAAAGATGAAGAAAGAGTGCAGTAAGAACCCTGGTAAGATTTCTTTTAATCTGTTTTTATGAAAATAATATTATTGGGGCATGCAGAAAAAATTATCATGTATGATTTACAAAAAGTGTTATATTCTACAGTTCAAGCTAACTTTATAAATTAGAAAAACATTGGTTTTGAGTTATGGAACAAAACTTTCTAAAAAAAAAAAGATACAAATATTGGATCTGCTTTGTTAATCAAAATTAAGTTACAGAAAAAAAACCCATCTGAATAACAGGAATATGAAACAGAAGCAGAGAAACTCTGCTGTAAAACTGTTAAGATGACAGTTAGACCAAAGAGGCGGCTTATCCTGGAGCAATAAGAGGAAACAGGAGACCTGGCAGGAAATCCGATGGCTGTGAGTCAGTATAGGTCTGAGCTCTAGGTAATAATGGATGAGTCAGTGTCAGAATTTACAGAGCAGCTAAAAAGATAAACCACTTTGATTTCGTTGGGTGATATAATGATTGCATCATGACAATTAGGCAACCTTTTCTAGGGAATGAAACAGCACCAACCAAACCTGACACCATGTTATTTCAAAGAGTTAACAGGAACTTTTCTCAAACGTTTTCCCAACAATCGGCATCCATAAGTTCCAGATATATATCTCTGACTGCTGAAACAATTCATGCTTTAAAAGCAAACATGTGCCATCAGGCCACTGTTTCCTCTGTTTATAATGAAATCAGAAAGGGGTCGTAAACAGGAACTGTGGAGGTCAAGATCATGTCAGGAAGTTCCAGGAATGTTGTAAGAGAGCTACAAGTAAAAGAGCAGATTAACCCTGCAAATACGCTTTTGCTAGATTTATCCACACGATTGAGCTTAAACAGATAAGCACACAACCCAAAAAGAAACCAAAAATATGAAGAGAATCTGAAAATGCATTTATGAAATGTAGCTGTTACAGTAAATCTGAAAGACGTTTACTTAACAGGAAGCTCAACATAGAATAAAAGGAATGCCAGACCCTGGAATGTTGCTGCAAAGTGAAACCCTCTGTGACTGCTACTTATGTATTAGATATATTTGCAGCTGTACATGTTAATCTAAAAAATATCCCTATTTTAACTTTGTAATTAACCAGCATAATGATGCATTTATTAGAAGTAACCTCAGATGTGCCTACTGTTAGACATGGCTGTATTTCCCAATTTCTGGTTTTATATCACAGCCCATATTATTGTAAAAATTTGATTAACGTGATCTGATTATATCCTCGTAAAGTTCTAATGGGTTTTAACTTTCCCCTGCAGCTCCAAATATTCCTCACATTTGCAGCAAACAATGCCTCGGCCCCCTGACCTTCCATCCTCAGGCTGTGGGACACAAGATCCATCTGAGCGAGGACTGTCAATGTGCAGACAGAAGTGAAAACACTTTCTACGGTGGCCTGGTGTTCAGCAACCGCCCTGTGAGGATCTTTGAGAAGATCCGGGTGAAGATCCTGAAGCGGACAACACAATGGAAGGGAGCGATCCGTGTGGGCTTCACTAATGTACCTCCATCAAAAAGGTCTCTGCCTCTGCCATGCATGGCCATGCCAAACCTCACAGACACCGAGGGACACTGGGCTCTTCCTGTGCATGAGTCCTGCTGTTGGGAGGGAACGGTGCTGGAATTCTGGGTTTCTACTAAAGGCTACTTATATGTGAGACCTGATAACAGCAGGAAGAAAAAACTACCAATGAAAGTGGATCTCCAACAGCCTCACTGGGCCATGATCGATGTCTATGGTCAGACGACTTCCATCTTCCTCCAGGGTAAATTTAACAAACCTACATTTTGATTGACTTACAACCTGTTTTTCTTGTATTTTGTTGATGAAACACATCAGAACTAAAAATAACAACAATTCTCTGAATTATTTCCTGCTGCAGGCTCAGAGAAAAAGGAATTGCTTCTCACTAGAAGATCCTGTCCTGTACCTGATCCTCTCATCAGACCTCCTAGTTTCAACCCAGATCATAAATCTCCCGCTACAACCTCTGATGCTGTGTCAGACCTAAACAAGAAAAACCCAGCAGGTATGTGCAATGCTCTTGTTTTTTTTTATTGTTTTTTCACCCCTTAAAGTGGATGATGGATTCAGGCTAATGTTTTATTGTTGTCTTTTTTCCTCTTGGTCACAGATTACAACTGTGTGGTGTGCATGATAGAAGAGGCTAACATCACGCTGCCCTGTGGGCACCGCTGTCTGTGCCCTCACTGCAGCACCAGGATCCTGAAGGAGTTTGGTAGCTGCCCACTCTGTCGAACAATGATCAACACTCCCATATTCATTGACTCCTGACTCTTTGGAGCATGCAGAGCTCTGTGGAAGCATCCAACGCAAACTACTGAGACTCTGTACAACCTAACACAGCATCTAGTGAATGTATTCTGCTACATAACCCAAAATTATATATATGTAAATAATGTATATTTGTACATATCTGTATATACATACACGTCTCTTTTTATTGTTATTTATATACTAAATAGATTAATGATATGTGATGTTTTTTGTTTATTATCACACATTGTGGTCACAAAAATAAAACACATTCCACAAATGGGTATTTTGGTTTTCCTCTTTCAACGTATTGTCTGACAAACTAAACTGATTTTTAATGCATCTTATTTCCAATGATTCGGCTCCTTTAAACATCAAACAAATTCTGCATCAGTGCTGAGTTCATACCCTCACAATTTAAATAAATGAATGGCGGGGGAAATAAGCTGGGCCGATAAAAGCTTTTAAGAAGCAAACTGAAAGCACACAAATTTACCGTTGAGTTAACCTGCTCAGTCATCATAGGTGTTAACAGAAACCCTACGAAAACATAAGAAGAATACAGGAGGTAATGGTTAACAGCAAACAATAATGAATTAACAAAAAATAATTGTTGAATAGAGGTGATGAACACGGTTTCTGAGTGAATTAAAACAGATACTGTAATCAGTAATAACAAAACAAGATAAAATAAAAGAGTAATAAAAAAAGAGTACATATATTAATTAAATAAAACCCAAATATAATCATTCATTGCTGTCAATAATAACAGTAATGAGCATGGGAACAGAACAACAGCAAAGATGAAAAAAGTCTGTTATTGGATCAAAAAGATTTTCCCACAACTACTCTCCTTTTCTTCCCTTCAGTGGATTCAATGTTTTCTGTAATATTTTTTTAACCTATTTTGTGATTTGTCATCATTTAGCACAAATGATCCCTTCATGCCAGCCTGCTAGTAAAGTTCCTTTTAAGCTCATGTATGCATGATATATGTGCATAAGTGATTACAAATATTAATCCAGTCTGGTTAAAATAACGTGCCACAAAGAATTCTTCAGAAACATTGAGGAAACAAACAAACAGTGTTTATTTTACCTCAAAATGGGGAATATGCTTTAACAGAGCCCATTTATACATTTAACAGAAGAAGCTGTTGTTCTTTCTCTCCATTTCCACAGCATTTTTTAATGTGTTTGAAAAACATTGATGACTAAACCATATGACAACAATAATTTTAAACCTAGGCTTTAGAGGTATTCAGATCTGGAGCCCTAGCATAGGTTCAGCTGCAGATATTATGTATTAAAACAAGAGTCATAATGGCTGCAAAGCCAATAATTAACAACATTGGTGTTAACAAACTGAGGATGCTGAGGAGGTGTTGAAGCTTGAAGCCAAGATGTTGCTGATATTACAAGAAATGATCTGCATCAGCATTTAAATGTGTTTGTAAGAACAATCAGGGCTTCTTTTTAACCCACAGCTTAATATTTTATAAACGATTGACTGGCTACTGATTTGCTTTATGTGTGCTAAAAATTAAAAATAAATCTGAATACACCTGCTGTTCAACCCTCTGTGAGCTGTTTTGATAAATTAAGTGTCGATTACACCTGTGGCAAGAGCAAGACGTAGGGGATACATTTGGATGGAGCCACAGACTGGGGGTTAATCAGCTGATTAGGGAACAGGATGAAGGAAACTAGGCAGGGTTTTTATTTTTCATGACCTGAATTATGTTCTTCTGAATTCAGACACAAAAATAAATCAGTCATTCATAATCTCAATGTAAAAATGACAGTAGAATATGGAACACAGACCAAGATTCAGCAGAACTCATCCTTTGTTATCTTTGTCCTTTTGTTCTGTCAGAAAGCAGGTTTCCTCAGTAAAGTCAGTTCATTAAAACATCCTTAGCTACCCTGTCACTGCATCTAGCATTTGAAAATCCACCTTTTTCTCTGACAGACATACAAAGACAGTAAAAATAAACAAAACATGTCTACTGGATTTAATAGTCTCTTTTTTACAGTCCAGGTCTGCTCCACTCAATCCATGGTTAGGAGCTGAAAAACCCCAAAACATTGAGGACCATGAACCTCCCTACTGCAGGTTTATTTCACATACTGTACCTCTAATATAGGATTATAAAAGACTGTCATTCATGCATTAAATCTCTTTTTCTTCAACATCTGTGAGTTACAGCCTAATGATGGAACAACATTCTGATTTACACTCACACAGTTACAGTAATTGTGTACTTTTCCGCAACACCACAACAAGGAGGATTAGGGTGAAGTTCAAGGAAAATTCAGAAACTATTTCCAGCACAGTGAGGTGACTCAAGTGTCTATAGGGGAAATTTGAAATTATATAATATCAGGTTTTCCTGCAGTATTCTGTAGCAGAGGTGATCATGTGTGCTGTGAGACTGGGAACTTATTTGGTTTTTTTTATTCTTTTTTATTTTTGTAAGCTCTTAAAAATCAGCATGTTATCTAGCATTCATCTATTTACAACATCAGATTGCATAGTTAAAGGTTTCTCCAAATGTGCTCCCTTTAACTTTATGGTTTATGGAAATCGGCTGCTGCCCTAAATCTACTATGGATGGAAGTTATCAAATCCAAACAAATGGCAATTATTAACCTGTCTGAAGAAAGGCCAAACCACCAGGATATAGGATTTCTACTTTCATTATTGTCTCTCTATAGATTTATTTGTGGTTGTAAAACTAATAATGTTGTATACTGTCCTTAATTGTATGATGAACTAGGAATCGATTATGTTTATGATTGAAAACCGGAAATCTGCTTACAGTTGTCAGTCAGGTTATAGATTTTTATAACAGATTTTGATTTGGTTTAATTCTTATCAGCGTGACCTGTTTATATCCTCATAAAGTTGTAATAGTGCTTTGATTTGCCTCAGAGAAACCGTGTCACATTGTCTTCCTTTGGCTCCTTCCCATGTGAGCTTCATTATCTTGTTTTTAACCACTAGATCTGTTTGAAGAAGCAGAGCAATGAGTCCTGCGTAGGTTTCATCAACATGCCATTGCATATGCCATGCCATCTCATTCCTCCACTGAGACCTTAAAGGAGCTATTGCTGTGATTATTTGCTTTTCATGCCATAGATTTACTGGCCCAGTGATTCTCTGTTAAAATATTTTTTCTCCTAACCAAACTACAGCTTCCATTGAATTTATATCCTCAGTTTTTATTCCTTACAGACACTGCTCTAATGGTTTTCAATGATTTTCTCTCTTCTCAAATTTCTACTCATTTGCAGCAGACGCCTGCTCCACTGGAGTGTGTTCCTGCTGAAGGTCTTCACAGGCTGGATTTATACTGGGTGTAATTCAATGGGGATTCTTAGATAACTTTCAACCAGTTGGCATCATGAATCAACTTAAACATCCTTATATTCTATCTATATCAGAATAGTGTGTACATTATTAAACGTGGTCTCACTTTGTGAGTAAATGAGTAATGAAAATTTGTCATGTGTATCATGGATAGCATATTAAGATAACAGCCTCTGTAACAAAACCCTTCCATCATAAATCCCTCTGAACATTAATAAATCACAAATGGGGGCGGAGATATCCTGTAAAGCTGTGTGGGAAAAACAAAGGTGTGCAGTTCACATATAGAGTAATTTTTTTTTTAGATTAATTCAGATTTTAGATTTTTAGATTTTATTACTTAAGCATTAATAGTCTCTCTTTATGTAAATAAAATGGCAACTATCATTGAACTGCAGGTATGTAGTAGAGAAAAAGTCAGGTAAAAGTAAACAAATACTTTAATTGACTAAAGCAGGTTAAGCGTGTGAACATATACACCAAATTAATATAATAAAAGTTTATTTTTTGATATGATTTTTTTTTTTTTTTGCTGTCTAATTTTTTTATTATGGTTCAATCATACATGTTATAGTTTTGTAACATTCATTACAAAATATAATATACAAATATTTTCTTCAATTTGATTTAATCTAATCTTAATGCATTTAATTCTATTTAGTTAAACGTAGTCAGACAAATACTCACAGACTGATCATATAGCTAGAACTTTAGCGACATCTTTCTTTCTCTCTAAGTAATTATCTGTAATTCATGCAGTTCATTTAGAAACCAATGAGCTGCAGTGCAGCACAGCTTAAGATCTGAATGTCCATCACAAAACCAATAAAGCAAAATTAAATCCTACATTTTAACCAAATGCATTTGCTCCCATGATTGTTCTGGAAAAGATGCCTGTAGCACAGATTTTTTTGATTTTTTGTTTGCAAAATGTGTTTTTAAAGAAGTCTTGTGTAATTCAGGATTACTTATGGAAACTTTGCTCTATGTATATATATTCTTTAACAAATTGTGAATATATTCTATGTCACTAAAGTGTTTTTCATCTGTAAATATTGACTGGTTCTATTAATAGTGTGTCTGCAAACAGTGGAATTACACGAGGTGTGGGTGAACTCCAGAGGAATCCACTGCGATTTGACCTTCGGTCTCTGCACTCACAGTCTACCTGTTAAATATTTACGTCAGAGTCCAAAGCCAAGGACACTCGATATGATTGAGAACAAATCATGGAAGCGGGAATTAACAGATAAACTTTTCAGACATTTCTCTGGTTAAATTAGATTTAATTACTCAGTTTAAAAGGAGGTCTTTTGCTACTGCCTCTGTCTCAGCTGCTGTCTTTTCCTTTTACCGAGAGGGTAAGTGAGGACTTCTGGATCAAAACATAGAAATATTAGAGGTTACATGATTGGTTTGCAGGTCAAGTGCGCCAACCAACTCTTCTAGTACCATGGTTCTCAAAATGGTTTACGACTAGTTTAGCTTGGTTCGCTTTGAGTAATTCTGGAGAGAAATGTTATTGTTGACCATTCACGATATAAACAAAGGAAAGAAACCCAAACTGAATGGAACTTATAGGTTTTCACTATATTAAGATTACGTCTAGCTTTTTAAAATGTTACCATTTCCTGGATTACTGAGATTCCTCTCAGCATGTCTAAGCTGAAATAGGATTTAAAATATAATAAGAAAAAGTCACCAAATTATTTCTTTTGTTCAGTTATATTTATTTGGTTCTAATGTAATGTTGTGTAACATTACTTTGTAGTTTTCATTTGATGTTCAAGTACAGAATAAAGTATCTTAATTAGCCTGGATGGAAACTGAAGTCAGCAACCAGGAAGCAAAGCATGTTAACTTCACGTCACTTAATGTAAATAATGACAGACGGCAATAATGTGTTTCTGGTAATCACGCTTGGACAGGCTAACTTTGGTAACACTGAAGAGGTGAAACAAAAAAGTCCCATAAACTTTTTAAATAAGGGATTCAAAAATCATTTCCTGGTCAAAGATGACTCCAAGGTTCTTTACTTTATTGCTGAGATGAGAAAGAGCAAGTGACTCATTAAGCACGTTTGAAAATCTCCATTTTGGAAACTTTAGTTTTTCAGCTTGTTGGACAGGAGGGGTTCAATAAAGTTCTGCCTACCAAGGTGGAATAAAAAAGCTTTAGTAACTTATTACCTAGACTTAGACAAACTTAATTGTCATTTTGTATACACAGTGTATCCAAAACGAAATTCCATTTTGAACAGCTCTCACGACATGTCCATTTCTTAAAGTGCAGCAGTGATCAAATATAAACATAGTCAGAGGACGTTTTCTTATAAAACATTTTGCCCATTTTATATTTTAAGTTCTGGGTTGGTGGGAAATCATCAGCATTTCCTCTTGGAGTATCAACCTTTGATACACATTAAGGAACATGCCGTATTTTCTGCACTACAAGACGCAACTAAACGCCTCCAGTTTTCTCAAAAACCAACAGGATGCCTTATAATCCGGTGCACCTATACGGTGGATCAAGATTAAGCTTCAACAGGTCTTGCAACTACGGGTAGCAGCAGCTGACTCCATTTTCTCCTGTAGAAGAAATAGCGTGACACAGATTTAAACTCAATGCTATCCATAACGCAGCAAAACATGGGAATAGGGCAGCAGCTCCAGAATTAAACATTTATGAATCACTGGTGCGGAAGCAAGAAGATACCCGGCGAAAAGTAAAACAGAGTTTCCGAGGGAACAAAGCAAGATGGATACAGTTAGAGGACCAACTTGTACAGTGTGCTTTTGAACAGAGAGCAGCAAGTAGAAGTGTCTCAAAAGTCACTATTCGAATTAAGACAACAGTGTTGGCACGCAAACTCAAAATCAATGACTTTAGAGTCGATCCTTCTTGGTGCTTTCAGTTCATGAAAAGAATTAATCTTTCCATCCACACACAAGCTACTGTTTAGCAGCAACTGGCAAAAGACTACCAAGAAAAGCTAACCTCTTTCCATGCATACTGCAAAAACAAGATCACTGAAAAAAAGATCCGGCTGGAGCACATCATCAAGGTTCCACCAGGTTCCACTCACCTTTGATATTCCTCTTAACCGTACTGTTGATAAAACGGGAGAACGTACACTGAATGTTCGCACCACAAGGAATGAGAAGTCACCCTTCACTGTAGAAGAAGACCTTGCTAAAAGAAAACTTTCCTGCTGGCATCGTCATCAAAGCTAACTCAAAGGGATTGATGGATTAAGAGATGACTGAGAAGTTGAGAGAAATTTACGTCAGGAGACGGTGGCTTCTTTCACACAGCTCTCTCCCTATTGATCTATGACTCGATGCGCTCCCATATCACCAATCGTTTCAAAAACAAGCGAAGTCCACTAATTCCGTGCTTGCCATCATTCTGAATGGATTGACAAAAGAACTCCAGCAAGTTGGAGAGACAGCACCGAACAACATACGCCACTGCCAGTGGATCATAAATGCCTGGGCTTATATATCAGTCTCAACTGTTGTCAAAGCATTCAGGAAGGCAGAAATTGTCACTGAACTGCCAGACAACAGCAGCGAAATTGACTCAAGTAATGACAACTTTGACGAGACAGAGCCAGGCATGTTGGGCCCCATATTAGCTCAACTGTTCAATTCGGACAATAAAGAAGAAGAATTTGAGGGTTCATTGATGAGAAATTAATGGACAAATTGAAATGTATGTGTTTCTTTTGTGTGTTTACAGCTAAAGAAGGTCATATTGTAAATAATATATTTATAAAGTTTGACTTACTTATATGACTGTTTTATTGTCATTAACTTTAGCGCAGCTGCACTTAGTGGATGCATAACGCAACCACAGCCACTACTATAGCTTCTATTCTATTTGCCTTATAGTGTGCCTTATATATGAAGAAAATGTAAAATAGACAATTCAATGAAGGTGTGCCTTATAACCCGGTATGCTTTATAGTGCAGGAAATACGGTAATTAACCAACATTCTTAAAGCAAACACGATGAACAGGAATATTTATATTCTGTTTTCTAAGAAAACACCTAACAGACTGAGGAAGTTAAATTCATTTCTTTAGCTGCATAGGACCCCTTGCTCAAGGCAAGACAAACAGTGGGATAGTTCAAAAGCGTTTATTTAAACACGGATTCTGCGCTTCATCAGCTGCAGCGGCTAGGGCGTCTATCTGTAAAAGGAAACAGAGGTTAATGACCACATAGATCTAATGGAGGAATATTATGAACGTGAGTCACTAACCTGGTTTACAAGCTCAGTCCATGCCCAGAGAATAAGGTAGGATCCAGCTGGTGCCTGCCAACAAGATGCGGCGGGCGCCGCCCTGTGTGTCCCAGATGCTGCAGCCCCGGAGAACGGAGAACAAGCAGGCATTCAAAACAAGGTCAGGCAAACAGATCAGAACAGGAAGGCTCAGAGGTCCAGGAGTCCAAAGCAGCCCATTCAGACTGGAACAGGCAGGCTTAGTGGTTGAGAGGCAGAAAATGTCTGGATCAGGTGATCAAAAACACTCAGGAACACTAAAAACCCTCTCACAACTGAGATCAGATGGGGAAAAAACAGGCTCAGGGGTTGAGAGGCAGAGCAGGTCAGGATTAGGAAACCAGAAATGCTAAGGAACGCTAAAAACCCTCTTACCACTAGCATGAGAGAATGAGATTAATCTGGCACTGATAACTGGACGCAAGCGCCTTAAATAGAGGCAGGAGCAGGTGGATCAGATGAGCAGTGATTAGAAACCGGGCAGAGTTAGACAGGGGAATAAAATGAATAATTAAACCAGTCATCAGCTCCAAGATAATGACATTTGTTGTAGTTGGCATTATGTTAAAACAGATTTTTTTTTTGAATTGACTCTACGTGTATCAGATGGACTCTCGTTTTCACCTAGTTTATATTACAAGTGACCTAGGCCTCTCAGAAAGGCCCTTTACAACATTAGTCTTTTAAAGTTTCCATTTCTTTATGACTAATGTGTTAGGTTTCTGTTTCTGTTATGTTTTTCTTTTGATATTCAGTTTTGCTTTGCTCTTTGTTTTAAAGGTTTTTATGGTTTAATGCTTATTTTGTTTTGTTCCTTGGGTTTTTCTCAGTTACTGTCTCAGTCTTGGTTCTGTTATATTTTCTTTTTAGTGTTCAGTTTTGCTTTACTCCTTGTTTTCTAGTATTAGAGGTTTTATTTTTTATTTTTCCGTGTTTTCTGGTTTACTCTTAGATACTGTATCAGTCTTGGCTCTGTTATGTTTTTCTTTTGAGTGTTCAGTTTTGCTTCACTCCTGTTTTATAGTCTTAGTGGTTTAATTCTTATTTTGTTCTTTCTGGTTATTTGCAGTTCTCGGGTTTTTATTTGTTGGCCACTGCTGCCCTCTTGAATTCCCCTTTTTTTCTCTTGCTCGTTGTTTCTGCTCTGCTCAGACCTTCTCCTAATCTGCTCGTTAACCCTCTCTTTGTTTCAGTCTCCCAGATATACTCTCTGTTCTGTTCTTCTTTGCTGGATCCTCGTCTAACCTCACCAGTCTTCCTCCTACTCGTCTCTCTGAGCCTTCTTCCTGGTTACAGTTTTTCCCCTGATGACGCCTAGGTTTTTTGTAAAGTTTTGACTTGTGTTTTCTTTTCTTTAAGATCTTTGAATTTTTGGACTCCTGGTTTCTCGTTTGTTTTTGGACTTTGTTTTCATTAGATTTTTGGATTCCTGTTGCCTTTGGTTTTGGATGTTGTTTTTCAGTTCTCTTAATTAAATCAACTAAAAATTCACATCTGTCTGCCTGCCTCTGCTTTTGGGAAAACAATCCACAAACAAACCCTGAAAATGATTTGTGTTGTTGGGGTACCTCAAGGATCTCTGCTAGGGCCTTTTCTGTTTTGACTATACATTTTTCATTGTGTCAGATCTTGAAGTACTACAAGAATGTTTCGTTTTTTTTTATCTCTGTGCTGATAAGATATATAGATTTAATAGACACCCAGAGATTCATTAACTATCTGAACTTGGCAACTGTTTGACAGAAATCAAACAATGGCTTTAATACAACTAACAACTAAATGTGAACAAAGTAGACCTTGATTATTGACTATTATCAGGCAACAACTTACGTCTCTGGTCCCGTCTTTTTTAAGCTTCCTCCTGGGTGTCATTTTCCACGTTTCTTTATCCTTTGAGCATTATTCTAGAAAACTGGCTCAAATTTTCAAATGATAAAACTTGAATAATAAATTATTGTTAATGCCTTTGTCTTGTCTCGTTTAGACTGCTTTAATGGTTATTTTTTACCAGTTTTAGTGAATAAGCTTTAAATCTGCTTGAGACATTATTTCTGTTCTTGCCTCTCTGCACTGACTTCCTGTACAATATAGGATACATTTTAACATTTTGGTCCTAACATTCAGGGCAGTAAATGGCAAAGCTGTTGAATACATTAATTGTTTATAGATGCCATACTGTTCCCCCTATGAAAGCTCTGAAACTCATTGTCATTGTGCTACATGAACTCCACTGACCTTTTAAAGAAATAATGACATGTATTAAATAAAAAGAATTTTAACTAGACTGTATATATATTTGCAGCATGTTTTTATTGTAAGCTTCTGTGTGATTCTAATATCTGTAAAAGTTGCCATAAAAATAAACTTAAATTTTTTCCTCTGCGTTCTGTCTTAAAGCCAGAAGCAAGAGACAGCAGAGACCAATATTCCCCATCCTGTATAATGAAGATAATTAACTTCTGATTAAAGATGAGGAGAGAGGTTGATAAAAAGACACCAGGTAAGATTTATTTAACCTTTTTATAATAAATTTTGTGCATATGTCAAATTATCTATTCAAAATAATCCACTGTGCTTTCACGCTCAATAACTCCCCTTTTCCGTAAGATGATTACACGTTCTTGCAAATATTTCAGTAAGTGCAAAAAAAAAAAACCTTTCCAAGAAAAAAACTGAAAGTTCTTCTTGCATACCAACTTTATCTTTTAATTCTTTTCTTTGGATTCATACGTTTATTAACAGCACCCTGAAATCAACTGATGTTTTCAATGGAAAAGAAAAAAAAAAACTCTCAGTAGGGTGGTGTGGAAATGGAACAACATGGGAAAAAAAATATTTACAGTTACTGAAGTTCAAGAACACTTTCTGACAGTCACAAGCAGAAGACGACCAAACTGTATTTTAAGTATTTTGAGCATCACCCCCTTTTCCGAATCCACCTACTGTACTGCTTTGGTCTAACTTTAGGTTTTTGTTTGAGTCCAGACAGGGAAACATCAGATGTGAAGACTTATATTAAAATGTATAGCTTCTGAAAACCAGTTAGTCTGGATGGCAGGCTGGGCTCACCATACATAGAGGCTACCCTCCATCCAGTCAAAAATGGTAGCTTAGCAGGTAAAGAAACCACAAACTTATAACAGACCTCATGGTTTCGCATCAGCAGTGGTCCTTTTACTACAATTTCCCCATTGAGGGAAAATAAAGGGATTTTCTATTCTATTCTCCTCTTCCAGGGTAGAGGTAGACTGATACAAGCACTGATCCTCAATTCATGGCATTCTGAAGTCTTGCCTTATTTTGTTTAATTTGTTACAATAATCTCTTTTTATTGAGACTTGTGTAACAACTATTATCACTGTGCCACTTCTGTCATTTAAATTGAGGAAGAAAAAGAAAGTTTGGCTTAAAAATGGGCCCCATATTGGTCAGTCTCTCATCTTAGACTGAGGCTAATCTTATTGTAATTTTGTTTGCATAAGGTGTATACAGAATTAAGTTTTGTTGCATATGGCTCACGACAATGTCAAAAAATACAAACAAATTAGATAAAATGTTAAGCGCAGCAGTGATATGAATGTACCATATTGCAGGAAGGAACTGTTTTAAAAAAATATTAAATAAGGAAACAATCAACAACGTTCAGTGCAAAATAACGGTGCAAAATGTCAGTAAAAGTGGAGGTCCAAGGTGTCAAGGGTTGAGTGGGGGGTTTTGAGGACCCAAATGCAGAGACCAGGAAGCAGAGGTGAATTTTGCAGATTTAATGGAGCAACTGAGGAAAAACACAAAAATACAAAGAACCCCAAAACATTAGGGAAAACTTACATAGGAAGCCAGAGACAAAGGAAGCAACACAACAACAAACCAGCACTCAGTGACTTTCAGAAGTGGGGTATATATTAGGAGACTGAACCAAGAAAACCAAATTAGCAGATATGGAGCAGGTGTGAGTAGACTAACAAGAAGGGACCAAGGGAGAAGAAAACAAACACAAGAGGGCAACAGAGAGCAAGCAGCACAAGACCTAAAGAACTCAGCACTGGTAAAACTACAAAGACACAGAAAGACACAAATAAACTAAAAATAAACCCAAGCAGAGAGCAAAAACCCTGACAAAGATTTTCTTTGTCAATTTTTCTAAACGTTTAAAACATTCACAAATCTGAAACATAAGATAGAATTGTCAAAAGGTGCTTTTTTTTTAAATATATAACCTCATTAGGACACATCAATAGTAATTAATACAGCGAGTATATATTGATCTGCTTAGTTTCAAACTGTTCCTGCTGTTCTTTCCTGTTCAAAGTTTTAATCAAATAGCATGTTTCTGGTATTGAAGGTCAAAAAGTTTAGATTCCTTTATGGCATGCAGCTAGATTCTCTTGCCTAAAGGTATTTTGGTGGTCTGATTACCCAGCAGCTCCAAAGATTTCTCACAGCTGCAGCAAACAATGCCTCGGTCCCCTGACCTTCCACCCTCAGGCTGTGGGACACAAGATCCGTCTGAGTGAGGGCTGTCGACGTGCAGACAGAAGTGAAAACACCTTCAACGGTGGCCTGGTGTTCAGCAACCGCCCTGTGAGAACCTGTGAGAGGATCCGGGTGCAGATCCTGAAGCGGACACCACAATGGAAGGGAGCGATCCGTGTGGGCTTCACTAATGTACCTCCATCAGGAAGATCTCGGCCTCTGCCACACATGGCCATGCCAAACCTCACAGACACCCCGGGACACTGGGCTATTCCTGTGCACGAGTCCCGCTGTGGGGAAGGCTCGGTGCTGGAATTCTGGGTCTCTGCTCAAGGCTACATACATGTGAAACCTCATAACGGCAGGAGGAAAAACTATCTGATAAAAGTCGATCTCCAACAGCCTCTCTGGGCCATGATCGATGTCTATGGTCAGACATCTTCCATCTTCCTCCAGGGTAACTTTAACACACCTACATTTTGATTGACTTACAATCTGTTTTTTTTTTTTGTTCTTTCTCAAAGAAGCACATATCAGAACTAGAAATACAAATAATTCAATGAATTATTTCCTGCTGCAGGCTCAGAGAAAAAGGAATTGCTTTCCACTAGAAGATCCTGTCCTGCACCTGATCCTCTCATCAGACCTCCTTGCAGTTTCAACCATGATTATAAAGCTCCCAGTAAAAAATCTGACTTCATCCCCTTCCTAGACATGGAAGTACCAGCAGGTATGTCTCCTGCCAACTTAATTTGGCTTCTGTTCCCCTTTAAAGTGGAGGATTGATTGACTGATGGTTTTTAACTACTTTCTCTCCTCTGTTAGCAGCTAACAGCTGTGTGGTGTGCATGGCAAGAGAAACTGACACCACACTGTCCTGTGGACACCGCTGTTTATGCACCCAATGCACCTCCAGGATCTTGAGGGAGTTTGGTACCTGCCCGCTGTGTCGCCTAAAGATAGACACTATTATTGATGAGGAAGTGACTGTTTTCTAGCTGCCTGATGAAGCTGCCGAGAGCATTAATGCCATCTATTGAGAGACCGGAGCAAGGAAAGCACTACAGATTCAGTAACACCTACAGCAAATTGGATCTCCTGCTGAGCAGCATAATAATATTGATATATTTTTTTAACAGCACCTTTCGAGACACTCAAGATCACATAAAAAATTAAAATACAAAAATGCAAATACAGGAAGATAAAAACAATTATGGGGAGGGACAATAGCAATGCATTTACAAATAAGCGAGCTAGAACAGATGAGTTTTGAGACTGGTTTTGAAGAAGGAGAGAGTCAATACTGTGGAGGTCAGAAAGGAGTGAGTTCCAGAGCTGGGGAGCAGAGCGGCTTAAGGCTCTGCTCCCCAGCTGGATTGAGGAGGAGGATCTAAGGGAGCGGGAGGAGGTGGTGATGTGAATGAGGACTGACAGATATGGAGGAGCAAGGTTATGGAAAGCTTTGAAAGTGTAAAGAAGGATTTTGAATTGTATTCTAAATCGAACTTGGAGCCAATGGAGTTGCTGAAGAACAGATGTAATATGATGGAAAGAGGGGGTTCTGGTGATGACACGAGCTGCTGAGTTCTTAAGAAATTGGATTTTATGGAGGGATTTATGAGGAAGGGCAAAAAGAAGAGAAATACAATAATCAAGACGGGAGGTGATGAGTCTGTGCATAAGGACAGAGGCAGTGTGTGTGGTAAGGGAGGAACGGAGGCGGTTAATGTTGCGAAGGTGGAAGTATGCAGACCGGGTAATTTTATTTATGTGTGACTGAAAGGATAGGGAGGAGTCGAGGATGACACCTAGACTTTTGACGTGAGAGGAGGGGGAGACCAAGGAGTGAGAAACTACTGATTTTGGATAGGGTGAATTTGGTGGTGACGAGGAGGAGTTCGGTTTTATCACTGTTTAGTTTCAGGAAGTTTGAGGTGAACCAGTCTTTAATTTCAAGTAAGCAGTTAGTAAGGGACAAGGGGGGGAAATGGAGGAAGTGGGTATACTGGATAAATAAAGCTGGAAGTCATCCGCGTAACAGTGAAAATTAATGGTAAATTTGTGCAAAATACTGCCAAGGGGAAAGAGGTAGGTGATATAGAGGAGGGGGCCAAGAACTGAGCCTTGAGGGACACCAGTAGTGACAGAGGAAGGGTGCGATGTAAAAGATTTGAGTTGAATAAACTGAGTGTTGGAGACATATGAGCGGAACCAGTCAAGAGAGGTATGAGAGATTCCAAGAGAGGTTAATCTATTAACTGGAATGGGATGAGAAATGGTATCAAAGGCCACACTAAGATAGAGGAGGATGAGGATGGAGAGGAGTCCAGAATCTGCAGCTGTGAGGAGAACATTTGTGATTTTTATTAGGGCGGTTTTATTACTATGGGAGGGGCGAAAACCAGACAGGAAAGGCTCGTAAAGACTGTTGAGGGTAAGACAGGTGTGGAGTCGAGCAGACACACATTTTTTCGAGTATTTTAAAAATAAAGGGGAGATTTGAGACAGGACGATGATTGTTATAATTAGTGGGATCAGAACCAGGTTTTTTCATAATCGGGGAGACAGGTGCAGGTTTCAAAAGTGAGGGGACAATCCCAGAGGAGAGTGAGGAATGAATAATGGAAGTAATGAAGGAGAGGAGGGAGGTTGGACAGGTTTTAACCAGAGATGTGGGGAAGGGGGTCAAGAGAACAGGTTGAGGACTGGGATTTACAGATGAGATCAGAAATTTCAGAACAAGTGGACAGTAGGAAGCAGGCGAATGACAGGCTATAGTGAAGGGGCAGAGGGGAAGGGGGAGGCAGGGGGGTCACATGTAGTTGCTGTTGAATGAAGCTGATTTTTTTTATTATAAAATTAGAGCAGACTAATAATTCTGCAAATGAAATCAGAAAGTTAATTAAAAATGTTTGAAGAATTCTGGGATACTGAGGTTTTTTTGTAGGTAATGAAATAGAAAGTTTATCTAATAAAATTAACCCTTTGTAATAACGATGAAGACATGTTCTGTCTTATTTGCACTGAAGGGAATTTGCAATACTGTTCGAAAAACATATATTATTTGCTTGTTCAAACTCTTTTACCTGAGAATGCTTTTGTATTATAGGAAATATTATCTGCTTAATTTTGTAAACTGTGCCCATGGAAAAAAGACATTCAGGAATGGGAATTTTTCAGGAGCATGAATTTCTAGCTCGATGTTTTTACCTGTTTTTCCCTGTATTGAATGTGTGAAATAAATGCATTTACACTTTTAGTTTGTGGAGGTTTTACTAAAATACATAAATTTTACCTTTTATCCAGAAAAAAGTTTTCATGTCAGACCTTTTATATTTAGCTGCAATAAACACCTTTCCAACATAGACAATGACCCAAATCTGATACATGAACATATGATGCAAACATCGTCCCAAAATGAGCAGAAATCTGACTGCCTGCTACATACTATGTTCTTTTTTTAAATTAAAATCTCTGGGGACAGGTTTACTGTTTATCTGTCCTACAATAATTAGGACATTAAACATATATTTGTTCATGTTGTTAATGCATATATTTATAAGTTTATAATTAAGTTTATCATTTTCGTACAATTTCAACCTGTTAAAAAAATTGTTAGAAAAAAAACAACTTAATAGGCAAATCTTTCTCTTAAAAACAAGCAGCAACTCCATGTGTTCAACTTTTTGGGAAATATGTTTTATTTTCTTTTTTTTGTATCCACCAAAGTTGAGGAATTTCCAGATTTTTTTTAGACTAAACATATCAAACCAACATAAAACATCTCATACCAACTGTCATACATGACAGACATGATAGGGGCTTGTTTTGGAGACCCTGAATGTGGGCACCCAGAAGTCACTGAATGAACTCTAAATATTTAAGACCGTGTGTTTGAAAACAGCAGCTTGGCAAAATCTACAATTTTCAAACCTTAACCCAGCTGATTTGATCATAAATTTATGGTCTATAAACAATGCCTATGTTGTATTTATAATAAACATGTCTAACTGTAGTTTTAATTCAGATTTCTATTTAATCTCAGCGATTCATTTAGCCACCAACTGATAAAGAAGCTTTGACTCTGGCGACATCTATCTTTGCCTTTGAAAACAAAGCAAAGAAAATCAGAAGCCCTGCAATTCACTTTGCAACCACTGAGAGGCAGTGTAGTACTGATGCCAAAGTTCCAGCTTAAGAAAGAAGTTTAAATATTTTTTAAACATGATGTGTTTCCATGCTTTTCAGAAGCTTATGTTAGTAACAGGGGGAAATACATGTACAAGTATCTCTCATTGAATATGTATATACTACTTTTCTAAATGCTGTAATTGGAATGATTTATGTTTAACCTTGAGTTGTTGATCATTTGAATGAGCTCCAGGATAATGGACAGAAAAGTGCCCTTTGGTCTCTGATCACACAGTCTACCTGGACAGTCTACCTGGATTATTCTTGGATTAAAGAGTCCTCCTACTTCCGATCCCCTTGTGAAGAAATCCTAGCTGTGGGAATTCAGAAATAAACTTGTTGGACACCAAGTTCTCATTTCCCTAAACCATTTGATTGTATCAGCAGGATTGTCACTCTACTTTTGGCTCAACTGTTTTGTTTTGCTCTGATTGGGTAAGTAATGACTTGCACTGTGTATATTGCATTTTTTTTTGGTTTCCTAACACTTGTATTTCAAAGCTTAGTGAGAAATAATTTCATAAACATTCAGAGAAACAATCAAAGGTGGAAGAATCAAAGGACATCAGATTTCCCCCCATGGTTCTCAAACTGTGGTTTATGTAGCAATCTTAAGTTGTAATCTGTACTATTTACAAAGCAAACCCAAAGCAGATGAACTGATGACAGACAAACTGTGATGCACAAGCAGCACAAAGCATTTAAACACACTGATGTCAGCTTCAGCCAGTTAAAATATGGAGCACAGTGCATCATATTTCAAAAAAACCTCAACATAAGTTAACAATGGCAAACAAAGAACAAAAGCTGGTCAATTTACCTCAGAAGTGAGAACCTGGATCTGGAAGGTACATTTTTGCTTACCTGTTGTCTTTGGTAGGTGGGCCACCTGCTATTAGCTTTTTAAGAAAATAATGATGTATTTAGTTTTACTCTTGGGAGGCTGCTTAGTGAGGTAAAAGCCTGCTGGATGTTTTACTTGTCGTCTAGACCGGAGGTCTTCAACAGGGGGTCTGTGACCCCCAGGGGGTTCACGGAGGTAATGCATGGGGGTTGTGAAAGTTTTGGTTTATAAAATTTTTTTTTTATATTCTCCCCCCTAAATTTTAATGTCTTTAAATACACATTAACATGAATTCAACACACTGTAGTAAACAGATAAATGGAGACAGAAGATGTCTTCCAGTCATCAATGCACACATTCAGCGACACACAGGAGATCTTTCAAGCTGGGCACCGTTTCATTCACAACACCTGACCCATCAACCAGGAATCTGAATCAGAAATATTTTAATAATCCCAGGAAGAAATTACTTTCATTACATGACACCATCTGTAATAGAGTAACAATAGGACAAGTTTGATATAACACAATTTCATACAATATGGGTCCCTGCTCCATCTCGCCATCAGTTTGGGGGTCCTTGGCCTAGAAAATGTTGAAGACCCTTGGTTTAGACATCAGCAGAGTGTCCTGCTTATTTTCAAACTTGAAGATCTGAGTTTAGCTTACATTTTTTTTTTCTCATTCTTTTTGAAAACAACAAAATGAACCAGAAACAGTGTATGTCATGTTGTACAGCTGTTATAAAATGTTTGCCATTATGAACACAGTAATGTTTATGTTAATCTCTACTTTACAGTATATGGATCAATTTATTTCTGTTTTGTATCTCATTAATGGTGCCACCGGCTAAGTGTTTTATTGTTACCCTTCAAGAAAAATCCAATAGTAAAGCAAAAGCTGCCATTGACTCCTTTTCCTCATTTACTGGAGTTTTATTTCTGTTAAAAAGGACACGTCCCTTTCTGCTGTTATTATATACTTGGTTAGGAGGAGGGATTGCTGTAAAGTGAATGACTGAATGCTTATTGTCATTGAATATCTGCTTGGCTGCCTTCTTCCAATTGGTTTTATTAACTGAATTTGGCAGCAAACACTGGTGGGAAAAAATGTTTGCTCCCTTCCTAATTTCTATTTTTTTTTTCATGTTTTTTAAAATGTTTTGGAAGATCAAACCCATTTATTCTTTGTCAAAGGTTAAGGTTTTTATGATTAACGGAGAGAGAAAAATCCAAACCTACATGGCCCTTTGGGGTTAATATAACATGTGTATCATTTAGTCCTGGGATGGCCATAGAAAAGGATCCCCCCCCCCCCTTTCAGCTGCATGTGAAACATTGGAAGGTGGTTCCAGTGCAGCCTGTGCCTGGATGGGAATCTCTATTATTTCCAGCTGTGGATGGAAACTATTACTGAAACTATTGCTTTCTCCCTGATGAGCTTTAAAGTACAAGCTCACACATGATAAACACAGGCGCCTATGCACGTACTGTACATGTGCATGACCACGGACAGCCAGTCATACGCTCCGAGCCCAGTTTGAATCATTCAAGCAGATTAAATCCACTCTGTTGTCCTCTGAAAGAAAAAAGAGGGAGGGAGAGACAGGGAGAGGAGTGTTAGTAACGTTCACTCCTTCCTTTTCATTCACTTCCTCTCGTCTGCAGAACTGTGGAGACATCACTGGCACTCGTCTGTAAGTACCGTATAACTGCTTTACTAACAGAGCAGCCAGGTTTAGACTGACTGGGAAGGAAATAATACTTTCATACTAATGGGAACTTTTCTAAATGACAGATAGAGCTCAGCAACAAGGCTACAACTGAATGACTGTTCAAATGTTTTCTCATTTATGGTCACAGTGTTGCTCAGCAACTTTTCTTCAGTCATGTGTGCTGTATCAGTATTTATCTGTGTCAGGTTGGACCTGTCAGATGTGTCCAAACTTATCATCTAAAAACAAGCATTGAGGAATGTCAGAATTTATTTCTAAATTAACTTATGATGATTATGATTCAGAATTGCTCTTTTCTACCAAAACACACCTGGATGTTTGGTGTTCTGCATGATGCCTACAGTTTCTTTTCTTTTTTTCTTCTATGACAATATATCTGTGTTTAATGAAAGGTTCCTCCAGTGATTTCTGCAGGCTTGTTGCCTCTTGTCTCAGAGAACCTGATGGCATAAATAATAGAAAACAAACAAAGCAAAAGCCCGGGGACATAATCAGCAAGTGATGTAGGTTTCGATTACATAACCAGTTTATGTCATGGTTTGTTTGCTCACTGGAATCTGCTGTTAGCCTTTTAATGAGACTCGGCAGCGTGCTGGCATTGGGTTATAGGACAGCGGTTGGTCTTTATGGCGCAGCAAAGGTCTGCTGGAATCCATCCATCACCTAAAGCTCCAGATACAGAACCATACAGAACCATGTTCCTTCCTGTCTAACTCGCCTCTGTTTGCTAAGTAGAAAATGGAGCTATTTGTTTAGCAAACAGACTGTGTGAACAAGCATTCGTCGAACAAAACTTCCCAATGTCTTCCTGCTTGATGACTTATTTAGTTGCAGAGCGACAGGTTGTTAAATGCAGTCACTACAGGGTGAAAGTCTGCTCAGCTGTATGCACTTCATAGAGTGACCTTCCTCTTTGGAGCCTTTATTACTCAGGGTGCCCAACATGTTCAGGAGCCAAAGAGGTTGGAAAAAAACAGCCCTATGAACAGCAGAGGCACAGTAAATGGATATCTGCACCTGGCTTTGCTCTACTGAGCCACAACACTGAATTATTAACAAGATCAGTCTCTTAGTTTAAAAGGGAAACTAGATGGTATAATGAAGGTATAACAAATAGATTACATATGGTATCTGGAGGATAATTTTTCCATGACCAGACCTACACAGACAGTAGAAGCCCAGCTGGGTAATAAAGCATGAATTACCTCCTCAGGATGTCAATCAATTCAACCCTTTTAAAGAGAGAAAAATCCTCCTGACTCTGCTCTGGTTGGATGAATAACATGCCAAGATGCACAGTAGAAAACACCATAAGGAATTAATAACTTCATTCATTCATTCATTCATTCATTCATTCATTCATTCATTCATTCATTCATTCATCCATTCATTCATTCATTCATTCATTCATATGCTTGTTTTTTCCTTTGTTTGTTTGTTCATTCATGCTTGTTTTAGACAATTAATTAATTTGTTTGTTTATTCATTCATTTGTTTGTTCGTTCACTAGTTCATTTGTTCATTCTTTGATTTGTTCATTCATTTGTTTATTCGTTTTTTAGTTCATTAATTTATTCGTTTGTTTGTTCATTTGTTCGTTCATTCACTCGTTCTTTCATTCATTCTTTAATTCGTTTATTCATTCTTTCTTTCATTAGTTAGTTTGTTAATTCATTTATTCATTCTTTTTTCATCCGTTCTTTCATTCATTCATTTGTTTGTTCGTCCTTTCACTCGTTCCTTTGTTCATTCATTCATTCATTCATTCATTCATTCATTCATTCATTCATTCATTCAATAACCAAGCTGAGAACAGTATTTTTACTAAAACAGCAGCAGCAGAGTTTAGGTGCAAAGATCACGCAATAAATTAATCAGTTAAATTAAGTTTGTACCAAAACATACAACATAGAACATAGTTAGCTGGGGACATTAGATTGTTTCCCACGGCTTCGAATTCCTCAATTGATATTAAAATGTTCTGGCTTCCCTTTTGAGTTAATAGATTTTAAATCATATATCAGTAAAAGCCTGAGGGGTCTTCAGCCATGATGGATACAGTTGAGGATGGCGAAGGTATTTTTAACTGGCATGATGATGTTTATTCTGCTGTAGTAATTTATCTATTTAATTGTTCTTATTGAATCTCCACCATTTGTAGATTAATTTGACCCTAAACTGTAACTCACCTTATAATAAACTTTTTTTTTTTTTTTTTACAGATAAACTGCATATATAGGGCCAAAATGGGTGCCCTTTCAATGTTACCATACAATTCTTTTATATTTATTTTTTTATTTTTTTGTCCTAAAAAGCACTGTGTTAGTGCTGCCCCTCATTGGGTTGAACTGGGGCAATTAGAATTTCTCTAATGGTTCAAATATGACATGCTTTCATCATCATAACCCTGTATTCAGGTATAAAGCAGACCCTCTAAAGCTTGGTGTATGCTTGATGCAGGTGATATTACTGTATATCCTCAGCAGGGTGTCTGTGCAGACAGGATTTTTTGAAGTCATGTTTTAATTACAGTAGCTCAGCATGGAAAAACATGGCGAGGGAGCAACAGCTCCTATCATCAAGGGTTTGCAAATGTAAACATTTTATGACATCCTTGAATTGAGCTCATAAATACCACCAATATCAACAGATTGTGGGAAAATTCCTGGACTGTCACTCTTGGATGATTACTGTTTGTGCTGAACACGCCTCCCTGGAGCTGGAGGAGTATAAAATATCGCAGACGCTGTAACGGGTGGCTCATTTTCTATGCAGAAAATTAGTTGCCCGTAAGTGTGTCAAGCATAAGCCAACCTTAAAGCTGCCACCCTCATTGTAAGTCATGCCGTCCTCCTCTGCCTTGGCAGCACTGGTTTTGTGACATTGCTGTCAGCCTCTTGAGTCAGCTGCTTGAGCTGACATGGCGTGAGCCTGTTGGGCCTCCCAAAAACTCTAGAAAGATATCCTTAGCGTAACTAGCAGTCTCATTTTCATTCATTCTTCATGCTTCAGCCATGCTAAGCCAACTCAGGCTATCCTAACTTTCTTTTCTTGACCACACCTTTACTTAACACTTAGCCCTGCCACCAAATCAAAATGTCTTGGCACCGACCATTTCAGTGGCATTTTTCTAAATGTGGCTGGAGGTGGTGCTGTTTTACATGGGGTGAGTTACACTTGAAATAGTCAAGTGATTTCTCAGTACTTAGGCAATGACTGCATTCTGAACTCATACTGCATTAACACAAGCAAATATTGTCTTCCTGACTGTAAAGTGTCTGCATTTCTTTTCTCACCTTTTTCCTCTGTTATACACTGAAATTATGTATTAAGTCTGTAGCACAGGCGCATCCATCATTGGCCAAAATATCAAGACTTGACTATTAATAAGTCAATCTACCAGCTGATGCAGAATTTCTTCTTTTTTAAAATAACTAACATTTTGGTTGCTAAACTCTCCTGAAATCAACACAGTATTTTTGTATTTGACCATAAATTTTTTTCTGCAGCCATGGATAATATAGGTGAACAACGTTTAGGAAGGATTTTAATTTAAAATAGCAAAATAAAAAGGAGGAAAACAATCAAAAATGCTCTCTGTTTTCTAACTAAACACTTTCATGGCATAAGGAAATTAGTTTATTTTTTGTTAGCAGAGTAGATTCTATATAAAAGATCTGAGAAGAGGTCTGAGGCAAAAGTCTTTTTTGGTAGAAGGCTAGAGTGATTGAAAATATGCCCATGCATTTCAGCCAGAAGGGCAGTCTGCTCTATTGTTAGTTTAAAAAAAATATTGAATGCAGATGTTATATTAGTTGAATAATTTTTAAAAACTTGCAAACAAATTGAACATTGAAATAGTTTTTACATTTGTAATAAAAAAATAAATCTGGTGTTATACCCTATGAGCACTGGTCAACTTTCCAATATGTTAAGTACTTCAGACAATCTTGCTAAATGTCCTTCTTTCCCCTTCACAAAAGCACAGAATCCATCTTCACCTAAGTTAAGGGGGAAAATGTATTTCATCTGCAGCTGCAGAATCAGAGTCAAAACTAGTTTAATTTCAAGCTTTGTCTCGATTGGCAAAAACTGTAGGCAAACTGGAAATCCTGGTTTTTAACTGCACTGGAACTGAGAGCAAAAGCAGCAGTTTGTTCTTTTTTTGGGCTGTTGTTTGGTGATATGCTGTTACAATCTGGGAATGGTGCTGAAATTTGACTGACTTATCTGTGCACAGAACACTTCTCCTGCTTTGAATAATTTGCCTCTGCCATGGCAAATAACATCTATCAGGGCTCCAAGCTATTTTCTCAACTTTGGCATCCAAAATTACAGCTGCTGTGTGTTTGAGTGTGTGTTTGCGTGATCATGGGAAACAAGTCTCTAGGACTTGTGCTGTCAGTGCCTGACTATGTGGGATAGAGTAATCACCTTGAAACCTTTCCAGGAATACAGCAGGAACAGAAGGGTCTCTTTTTCTCCTATCAAGCTTTTGGCCGGGCAGAGACCTGGTCTTTGGCTGCACACACCCACACCTTTACACACACAAAGACATGTCTACAAAAGGAGAGTGAGGCATAAGGGAGTTAAAGTTAGGACTGGACATCAGGGAGTCATGGAGCAGCATTTTGGGAGGGGAAGGTGATGAATTATTTGCATTCCCCTCCAGTTAACCTCTTCCTGCAAATATATCACCTCATCACAACAATGTGAGGAGGAGGTGCCCTTAGAAACTGACAGGCCAGGAGGACCTGGGGGTGCCTTTTGAACATAGTGTTGAAGTGGGTTGCCATGACAATGCCTGTCAACCGGGAAGTCCTCCACGAAGGCAGGCAGAACAAGGGCAAGTAGTGTGAGGGAGATTGTGTGTCCCAGCCAGTTCCAGAAGTCGGAGAGAGTGAGAGAAAGTGCAGAGAGGATCTACGGCGAGGTGTTGCGCTCAGCTGAGACAGACAGAAAGACCAGTGAGTTCACAAGTCAATGCCAACAGGGAGGTAAGTTCAATCAACAAATCTTTAAAAAGTAGGGGATCATGAGGTTGTATTCCTTGTGGATCTTTAGATGTGCTGAGAAACATGTTTGACTGTTCAGGTATTAAAGCCAAGTTCTGTGGCTCTGGTGTTTCTGGACTTTGGGAAAACAAGAGCCTCATGTAATCTCTTAATAATAATTGAACTTTATTGATTGATAGAAATTTCCCTCTGCATTTAATCCATCCCCTTGGGGAGCAGTGGGCTGCCTTCATGGGGTGCCCGGGAGCAGTGTGGGGTTAAGAGTCTTGCTCAGAGGGCCAGAGTGGCAGTCTGTGGGAGTGGGACTCAAACTCAGAACCTCAGCATTCCAAGCTCTATATCCTAACCACTAGACTGCCACTACCTGAAATCTGTAATCTGTATTCTTCTGCACTTAAAGAAAGATAGAATGGACATGCATGGAACTAGAGGATACTGTTTGTGAATATTTAATTCCAAAGATATTTATAGTAACCATAATTTGCTGGGTACTGCCAGGAAAGTTTTTGACAGAGTAAATACTTCCCTCCTGCTTCCATCCAGGAGCAGATTTTGAGCCTAATGAGCCCCAAACTGTCGAGGTGATTTTCACCGCTGACCCCAATTCTCTTTGTGACTCCTTTGTCATATTAGTGTGGGTCCAGCTGCCGAGGCGCATATCCACACCCTGCGCTCAGCTCTGAGGATGCAAAGTGACAGGCATGAGGATTTGGGACATTTTTTGCACTCTGAGGGTACTTTCCCATGCCCTGACTTAGAGACTGCAAACATACCTCACATAGAAAGGAATAAAATTATGTTAAAAGCACATCTTATTATGTTAATAATGATATGAAAAGGTATCAGATCCTTTAAATGTTTCTTTAGTTTTTAACTTTTTGTCAAATTCAAATGTTTGTTAATGGTTTGATATAAAATTCATGGGGAAATGCAGGCGTCAAAAGATAATCTCACACTCACTCAAACCATTGTGATGATTTAACAAGATTTTTGGAAAAACTATGAACTGATAAGAAAAAAGTTAAACTTTTGCACGTTATCGGTCCTCTTACATGTGACATAGTATCATGCAGTAATAATGGTGGTAGTGTGAAGGTTTGTATTTCCGTTTATTCTTCAGAGAGGGGAAACATTGGAAGCATGGACCTTCCACTCTAAAAGAGAAAAATAATGAAGATGTGTTTATTTACTAAAGCCCACGAGAATCATGCAATGGGACACTAATCCAAAACATGCCATCAACTCCGCCTATGTATGACAAAGTTTGGATGGGTGAAGTCAACATTTGTGTTTACATCTAGCTGAGTGGCTGTTGTATTATGTTTAATGGTCAGCTTTGCTCAACAACCCTCCACTGTGGCTCAACTAAAACAATTCTGCAAAGATTTCTGCAGAAAAAACATATCTGCTGCAAAAATTCCTCACATTAATGCAGAGGAGCCATTGCCAGTTCTTGTAAACCCTTGGTGTCAGTTATTCAAGCCAGGAGTGGCTTAAACTGACTGAGTTATGTTTTGATGGAAATAATTTCTTGGCTTGGTTTGGATTCCTGCTTTTACAAAAATACGTTGAGCACTGCTAAATGTAATTACTCAGATTATTTCTGTCTCTTATTAAACTCTGACATTTTTCTGACAAAAACCAAACAATTAAGGACATCTAAAGGAGGCGAATACTTTTTCACAGCACTGTATCTGCTTGGAAGGGGCTCCTCTTGTTGAGCGAGGCTTTGATTTATGAGCCTGGAGCTTCTTCTGGGAATGCATCGCCTCTCTATTGACAAGAAGCACGCAGACCCTAGTGTTGCTCGGTCCAGACAAGCACCATACAAGGAGGTGAAACACTTTCCTCCCTGATAAATTTGTGTATCTCCCCCTTGCAGCTACAACTACATATAATAAACCCACAGCTGCAGGACCTTGTATGGGCTCCGTTTGAACATCTGCAGGGCTGCAAAAAGGCAGCTCAGTTGTGTGATCAACCTCACAGATCTGACCCGTCACGTAACTCTGAAGTGACTCATTTATTATGTTTATAAAACATCCCGTTATTTATCCAATGAATGTGTTTGTAATTACTTCTCATGGCACTTTTTAGGGCCAGAGTTGCATGCTTTTACAACCATGTTATATAACATCTTTAGTACAAGCAATTAATGTTCTTGCAGGAGTGATAAGACTTGGCTGCTTTGATAATTCAGTTCACAAGTCGTGGTGAAATTCAGAATCTCTTCACCAAAGTCTTTCATAAAGGTTGCAGCAGTGTTCATGGCCACTAAGTCCTTTCATACTTTATCAGATTACATTTAAATGTTATTGTATGTTTTACCAGCACAAAGTAGTGCTCGATCATGCACTTGAAGACGAAAGTAAATTTTTTTTACGATCAGTATCTGAAAGGCATGTGATGCAAAAGTGAGTCAGTTTGTTGCAGCTGCAAGTCTTCATGGCATTTATAAATCTGTAAACTGAGATTTTTGTCCTATTTGTTGCTAAATAACTCAACCTAATTCAGATTAGATGAGACAGTGAACATCAATTTTGCAGAGGTATTCTCCAAATCATTACCAGATTGAAGAATGAATTTTGATTGGGTCTTTCAAAAGACTGATGTTGCTTTAATCAAAAGGAATCCATACTAGCTCTCTCTGCCAGTTGTTTCCTGCAGCTAGCAGCGTTTCCTCTGGGACTGCTTTGCATTCAGCTTTATCCATCTTCTCATTAACCCTGAACATATAACAAACCACAAACTCACAGTATGATGCAGCTTCTGCCATGCTTTACACCATAGGTGGTATATTCCTATCCCATGCTAACTCTTACTCATACCTCTATACCCCCTCTACTGCTCTTTCTGCACTTCCTTCTATCTTTTTGCCATGATTCTGACTAGGGATTTTCGTCTAGAAAGCTTATTGTCATATTAATGATAACTGCAACATTGTGTCTACTTTGTCGCTTTGGATGAAAAGCGTCTGCTAAATGCATAAGCATAAAAATATTCAGGGAGACATATTAGTTTTCCTGCTTTTTTGCACGTCAGCCGAAAACTAAAGGTTTTAGTCCGATCTCACCAGAGCTCCTTTTTAGACTTTTTCCCTGAAATGTACTTTTAATCATGCACTGCTTAGTGTTAGTTTGTCACGTAGAATCTCAGTAACAGACAAAGTTTGTGGTTGTAATGCCATAAAATGTGGAACTGTTCAAAGGCTAAGACCACTTTATAAGGCTATCCGTGTTAGGTTGAACATGGGCTATTATGTAGACGTAAGCACAACTTAAACAGCTCTCACCCTCTTGAGTCAATGATTAACCCTCCTCGCCACCCTGTGGACAGAGCATTAAGCATGTGCTAATGAATGCAGGCCAGTTTCATTAAAGTCCTTCCTCCCTGACTTAATGACAGGGCGATCCAGCCTCTTACCACAAATCATGTCTTAGCTGGTATTGATCACAGCAGTTGAAGGGGTCAGCCCTGCCACAGTTTCTGTTTAGCAGGCTGTCAACTTGACACCTATGTTGATGGGAACAAAAAGAGCAAGTCCTCTTCTGTCTCTGTGTGTGACAGAGGAGAAAATCCAGCCGGGTCAAAGTCTTCTCACTGAGACCTGGAGATCTCCTCTGGGAAAATAGAGAGGTTCATTGTTTGCTTTCATAGTAATCTTTTCCTGTTTCACTACTCTTGAGCTACTGTTAATATTTGGGGCTTTCATTGTGGTTCAAAGGAACTGCACGGGTGTGGTTCAGTGCACTGACCTTGGAGCTGCTGTGTTGGTCAGTTTTGGTTCAACAACTGCAGATAACACATTTTCATCCACCCATTAAAAATACTAAAAGAGAGAAGATAATATTTTTTTATTCAAAGCATGTTTGCTTGTAGAAGATGCAGTGAAACATCTGGTTCAGATTGCAACTGTTTTTTTTGTTTTCTGGGGGACAGATGCATTTTCATGTCAAAGTCTTCTGATTCTCATTTCCCAGGTCCTTAGCTGCGTTTAGCTGAGCTAAATGGGAAACATAAGCAGATGTGATGCAAGCTGGAAACATAAAATCCAGTTAGAGTGAAAGCATGTCAAAAACAGAACATCGTCTCCTTCACATCATGCCCTTTTATGGTTGTGTTTTCTTCTTCCCCAAGTCTGATCTGGTGTTGATGGACCCCTCACCTTGCAGGGGGTATGGCTTGTAAATATGTTAACTATGACGTTCACATTTCACACGGATTGCATGCAGGTTCTAAAGTCTAGCAGTCGTCTGGAAGGTAAAACTACCTCCTGAGCTGAGTTTTAGTAATTACATAAGAATGCTGTGAGCATTTTGGAAGAAATTTGGAAGAGTTTTTTCACACTTAATAACATCTCTGAGTTTTCCTTATTAGGTAGGATCCTATTGGCTGTTTTCAAAGCAGGTATGCATAAGGGCCAAAGAACTTCTGGGTTGAATTCTTTTGCCTCCAAGAGAAGCCAGAGAGAGAGAATGTTATGACACAAGTTTGTAGGCTACAATAGGAAATAAAGCAGATAAGATTCTTCTTTAAAAAAACAAGCACAGATAAAAATAAACAGACTTTTCAAATAACTTGTGCTGCAAAGTACCTATATGCAATTTAAGAAGGAAGTTTTGATCTGATCTGATTTGATTAAATAATGTTTCGAAGTTTAAAGAATATATAATGGGTAAATTCGGCAGGTTGCAAAAAAATCTGCTCACTTAAAAAGTACATTTGAAAGTCTTTTTTTTTGGTACAATCATTTAGATGAGCTTTGTAGAACAAAATTCCACAGTAGATGGCTGGAAAACATACAAAACATAGAAGTTTTCCATATGGCTGTTAATAAGATTATGCTGTTCGTCGAATGATTATTAGGAATGCAACATCAGCTCAGCCTCTTACAGTAAGTTTGGCTTTTCTGTACAGCTGCTCAATCTTTCCATAAAACACCAATGACCTCATCGGGAGGTCTTCATCTCTATTTTTGGTTTAAATGTGGGGCATTTCTTTTTTTTTTTTTTAGCAGACAGTATGCTGGGTTTTCAAATACATCTGTTAAATTAGGATAGTGATGTTTTGAAAATTGAACTGACTCATGCCAAGAAGCAATTTGTTAATAGTCTGAACATTTCTAGAAAGACCCATTTTATAATCTAAAGTATTATTATAAGTCTTTACTTTTTTAGTAGCTCCATTACTAAGTGAAACAAATGATATAAATCAATCTCAGACAGACAGACATGTTTAAAGATTTGACCTCTGTTAGCTATGATTATTTTCTACTTACATAGAAATGTAATTTGTGTGTGTTATACTCTACTTATATGCAAATGATGGTTTTTACATAAGAAATGTGGGTGAAAATTGTAATATCTGCTTGAAGGTTGTTAATTGCAAAATGCACATTTAAGCCTAAATGAACATAGACTTTGATTTATTGAACCTTGCCACTGATTGTAAAACAGCTTGTAAATATTTATCTAAAGCATTTAAGGCAAAAATACCTCATCTTGATTACTCCCATGATCTTCAGGGCCTTAAATTAGTAGAAACATGATTTTCTTTACATTCTGTTACAATGCATCCACAAACCTCAAGGTATTTCTTGGGATTTTAAGGGATTTTTCAAGGCAGATTTGTACCATGGCTTTGTAATCAGCCCATTTTACTAATATACTTTTAAATTTAAAGCAGCGCTTCTCATTATCTTTGGAAGATGCATGGTTAAAAAACATCCTCAGGATATTTGTTAGAGAATATTAGCATTGCAATTTTGCCATAGAGGTCAAATGTTTCAAAAACATAAAATAAAATAGTTAGATAATGAATAAGATTTAACACTTGGGTAAAGTTATCCTCTTAGCAGGACGAAAGATAGGGCGAAAGATAATGTCATGATCTTGGTTCCGGCTGGCCTAATTGCTCATTCCATTCACCTATCTACTCTGCCTGGTTGCTCATTATCAGTCATCTGATCCACCTGCTCCTGCCTCTATTTAATGTACTTGCATCCAGATATCATGGCCAGATTATCCTGTTCTCATTCTCAGGGGCCAGTGGAGAGAGGGTTTTTAGCGTACCATAGTGTCTCTAATTTTCTAATCCTGACCTGATCTGCCTATAATCCACTGAGCGTGTCTGTTCCTGTCTGATCTCAGTGGAGAGAGTGGTTTCTACCTTACCATAGTGTTTCTGAGTACCTGATCCTGACCTGTTCTGCCTCTTAAACACTGAGCCTTCCTGCTCCCATCTGAACGTTTGCCCTGAGCTGTCTGTGGACTCCTGGAACCCTAAACCAGCCTGTTCTTATTCTGATTTGTAATCTTGACTGGGATTCTGACTCGGTGACCTCTGAGCCTTCCTGTTCTGATCTGTTTCCCCGACCTTGCTCGGACTCCTGCTTGTCCTCTGGGACTGCAGCATCAGGGACACCCTTGGTGGCGCCCACCGCATTTAGTTGGCAGCTCTCCAGCTGGATTCTACCTCATTCTCTGGGATGGACTGAACTGTTAGACCAGAGCTTCAGTGATAGACGGCCTAGCCGCGGATCCACAGCCCGCTCGTTTTCAAATAAACCCTTTGAGTTATTCCACTGTGTCTCGCCTTGAATACTGGGTCCTTCCATCCTGCATTGTGACACATAAAGCCTGTGCTATATTAAAATGGAGCTAGAATGGCCTAGTCAGAGTAAAATATAGAATCTGTGGCAAGGATTTGAAAGTTGTCGTTAGGAGGGACTGAGAGTTGAGATATTTTGATAAGAATAAGAATCTGCAGTACACAAAAACAGGAAGGATTATAGAATATTTGTCAGAATTTTTGAAAACCATTAATCTTTTTTCATTTATTTACAATTGAGCTTCTTATATAGAATAAAAAAAAAAAAAAACCACCAACTGTGGTTTAGTTACACAGCAAGATGAGAAAAACTTTAAAGGGTGTACTGTATATCTTCAGTAAGTACAGCTTCTGTAAGGCAGAGACGTTTCTCATTGGAATGAATGCTAAAGAATCTGTGTTCCGGTTTCTGATGAAATAACTTTAAAAATGACTCATCCTGTCATTTGTCCTCCGTAAACGGATTTTTACAAATATCAGGATGCCATTATAGAGGAGGTCGTGGAAAAACAAGAGCAGCATGTAAAAACATGCTGGCATAATCTTAAGTCATTATTTGTAACTATGTTGTTTGCACGGTTGGATGAATAATCCAGCAACTTCTATTGAGGATGATGAATCAGTTAGCATGCCTAAGCATTCATGATGTTGTTGTTATTACAGTCTCCTAGTCCGCCTGTCTTCCTGTCTTCCTCTTCTCTTAACAAACTGGATGTTGGCTCAGTAGTTGTATGAGCTAAACTGGCAGACCAAAAGTTTCTCATTTGAATGGTTTATGGTAAACTCTCTGATACTCTGCTGCAAATGCCACATGGAAAACACATTAGTGCAAACTATGTCAGGCAGCTTTCAGGCCGTACTAGTCTCGCCAACACTTATTCTGCACTTTGACGCCAAGTTGGAAAGCTGTAGCTTTCAGGGAATTGCTTTTTTTTTTTTTTTTCAAGAAAAGAAAACAAATCTCAAAATGAAGCCCCTGCTGCAAAATCTGATCTCAGTTATTGTCAAAAACTTTGTCGCTGTGGTAACATAGGGTTTGACAACAATACAGGTTGTCTGATTTTAAATAACCTGGCACCGTTCACTCATAGGAGCTGTAGTTTCCATCCCTGCAAATTCATCATGCATTATTTGGCTGCCTGCATCCCTCAGAGGTATAAAGAGCTTCCCCCTCACTATCTATGTGCCTTTCATGTTGAAATAGCTGCCCTAACTGATACAGCACATAACTTTCAATAATCGTTCTTCATTATCCGGCCTCATTACAGAATTGTTTTACTCATGTGAGTCACTCCTTTTGTTTTGGGTGGGTTTTTTTCCCTGGTTGCAGGGAAATGTGGGTGACGTTGACTTTCCCTCGCTGTGATAATGGCTGGATGGGATAATGGAACAATTGTCAAGTTTGCCTGGGAGAAAATAGCAGAGTTACAACAGAGAGGCCCAGGTTCATTACTCATGAATTTTGATCACTTGGGTTGAAAGACACATAAAATAAGATAAAGTCTTAAAACATTCAGACAGCCTTCTATTAACATGGATCATTTCATGATAGTAAAAAAATCACCTAGAAAAGTTGTCTTCACTTACTTTATGCAAAGTTTATCAGTTAAACAAAACATCACACAAATGTTTTCTTTTCAAGCTTTTTAAACGGTTTAACTTAAATAAGATAATGATTCTCTATGCATTTTTCTACCACGTCATGCCAGATAATGTAATTATTTAAAAATTATCTAAAATATTACAGTATATTTGGGATTTAAATTCATTCATTAACTCGGCTTAACCTGTCTGACTTTGTGATACATTTACAGAGAAAACAGCATTTTTCATAAAGACCTGACAACTATGGAGCTCTTACTGACTTATTTTGCATTATATCTTAAAGTGGAAATTACTCCTTAATCCCTCTGCGTATAAAAACGTCCTCTATTTGCAACTGTGTCAGCATAGCTTGCTCTTCAAAAGATCAACAGACACAAACACAATCACACACACAAAAAGTAAATCATGAGATAAAAGTCTTTCATATTTCTTTAATAGGTGTACAAGGAAAGTTGAAGTTGAAGTTAAATATTCATCATGTGTCTTTTCAGAAACTCCATGCTGGGAGCGAAACATTGATCTCTGCTACAGAGGAATCATAGCTGATCATATGCAGACTCAGGTAATGTATCTTTATGTTTAATGGAATACTTTGTACCAGTTAGGGGTATGGGCTATGATGTGCTACAAGAATACACTTCATTTAACTAGAATTGCGCAGTCTACATTTATATTATCAGTAGAGATTCCAGAGTCAGGCTCCCTGGGTAAGCCCTACTTTTGTTGCACCAACAGCCAATCAAAATGCAATAAATTATTTTAGATTTAGGGGTTGGATAAAATCCAGTGCAGTTTGACACATAGCACACCTCCCCATTCACAGAAGAAAACATGAGAACGCCACCTTAGCTCATACAGAAACACAATTGATATTGTATTTCCACCACATTACAGATACATTGACATTATTTCATTTGTGTCTCATTCAGCTTTCTTTCCAATGAGACTTAAAGCAACAGCATGTGACCCACCTAAAAAACCAATACCACTTACATCACTCACCACTTATGTCCAGGACCCTGATCTGCTGTATTTTACTTGGCATCAACAGATTTAGTCCCAACTGGTGTTTCTGCAGGATAAACACAACATGACTACTAAATTGTGCATCAATCATAGCATTTTTTAAAATAATTTTTTTATTGACATTATTGAACATACAGCTGCAAACTTTAATAAGTTAGGATTATTATTATTATTCCTCTATGTGCTTGTTAAAGCCTAATAGTAGCAGCCATAATGTTTTCCTGAGCAATTTAGTCTAATTAGGTCACAGAACACAGAGCTTTCCATTAAAATGATCCTCTCATCTTGCAGCAGTTTATCATGTTGTCTTGTGGAGCAGTTACCTAAAGTGCTAGGCTAAAATTAACATGTTTGCTCTAGGTTGATATGAACTGTTCATGATTAGGCTAATAATAAGTAATCATGTGTGAAGAAAACTTGGAGACAAAGTTGTTGTGGTTCATAAACTCAGAGCCCTGATTTGTATGTATTTGATAAGCGGTGTCTCAGCGGTTCTCTCTGCTGCAGAGCAAATTACATGATGCACTGATGAAGCTGCAGGAGTTTAAAAGTCATTATCAATGTAAATGGTTGAAAAGTCCAGATTCTTTAGGGCAGACCAAATAATGTATGATATTGCAGTTTTTTTCAGCCATGCACACAAAACGTCATAGCTGTGACAATGCACTGTCACATGACTTACTGCGGGTGAAGCTAACACCAAACCACAGACTTTGAGTGGGCTGATAACAGGGATTGGTAACAGTCAGGGACTATCCCATTCAGATTAAGATACCCTGATAACATCATCAACCAACTGTTTGACTTACATTTAAAAAATCAAGTCAGCTAAAAAGAAAAAAACAACAAGATTATTGTCAGTACAGTCTGAGTCACCACAGCAGCATGTCTTTTGTGTATTAGTGGGGCTGTTACTAAGAGACTGGTATTTACCCATGACCCCTGACAACCACAAAGACAAGATGAAAACACTCCATTCAAAATGGGAATGTTTCAATTGTGGGCTTAGACTCTCAATCATTTGCTGACCAAACAGGTCTGGGATCACCAAGGACTTAGAGGTTGATGTTTTCATCCTCCTCCAGTTATCGTGGACCCCAGCTCCTCCGATTCTGACTCCTGTTTTAGTTCCCTCCACCAACTCTACACTTCGAGTAAGAATTGTCTGCAGCTCTTGTGAGAGAAATTATAAACAAGAAAAGTTGAAACACCACTTCCCATTGCTGTTTCTTTAAATAAATTAGAGGGTCTTTTCATTTCAGGCTCCCCCCAAAGAGAACAGTTATTCTCTTGAGAGTAGCGGGGCCTCTAACAAGTTCACATGACCTTTTCTCAGAGCATTATTTAACCAGAGCCCACAGGAAGACACAACGGAGCAAAGTTCATGCATTGTTTTTATTCATCCATATTTTTCTTATTTCCTCTGTGTGCAGCAAAGTGCGGAAGTAATGGGCCATCCAAATGGCTCCCAGAATCATCTTTTTGGGGAGCCTGAGTTTCCTTCAAGTCAGCACATACTGACTTCTCCAGAACATGTGGTGGTCATCTCCCCTGGACTCAATACGCCTCCGCTGAACCCGTTTCGCTCCACAGGCCCAACATCTGGGGTTGTCAAGGTATGTTACAGCCTGCAGCCTAGTGTGATGGTTGTACTGATAATTAATGAGTGAGTGTTGGCCTAGAGGTTAAAGCAGTGTGCTTGTGCTCTGAGAAGGTTGCAAGTACCCAGTTTGATCACCACTCTAGGTCCCTGAGCCAGACCCTTAACCTCACACAGCTCCCTGGGCGCCATACAATGGCAGCCCACTGCTCCCTAAGGATATGGGTCAAATGCAGAGAATGAATTTCCCCATTGAGGAACAATAAAGGGATTTACATTTTTACTAAATGAATTATTTGAACAAGGGCTCCTCCCTGTGGAAAAAAAGATGTACTGCACTGCACAATTTATAGACATGCAAAAATAGTGTCAGCCATGTTTAAAGATGTGTATAAATCCTTAAAACATCTCCATTTCATATTGTTGCATCCATGATATGCAATGAACAGTTTTTTTTATATCTTAAACAAATAAAACTTTTATATAGAATCCAAGGCTTATTTTCATATTTGTGTTTATTCGAGGGGTCAGAGGTAAATGGAGGGGGTCCAACGACTCTGAGATTTGGATCATACTATGGACCTTCCCAGTCGCCAGGTAAATATTTTAAGTTTCCAGTCAATACCTCACCATATTGTTTTGCAATACAAGTTATCAAAAGTTATATGGAAATAATATTCAGAGAATATATATATATATATATATATATATATATATATATATATATATATATA